GCAACGAATGTTTCGCCATAATTCAAAAATACCCCGGATTTCCGGTTTCATTGGTCAAAACAAGCCCAACTCTTATTTTTCGTCTTTGAAAGAGCTCAACTGCATATATTGCCTGGGGGTAGGCCGAATAAAGGCTCGTAGACGGCCACATGTTGACAAACTTACCGCCTTCGTTGTCGCACTGAAGAATCTCGAAAATGGGGAATCTACCGACTCCTTCAGCAAATTTTCTAAGGATTCGTATCGATTCAAAATTAATAGAAAGCCAGAGAACAAAACGGATAACAGGGATATTTTCGAAAAAAGTCCTGTCATCGCCCACAATACTTTCTGTCTAGTTTTTTTCAGAGGCGGCTCTGAAAGTGACTAAAATCGCTGTCGGGATAGTCCAAAGCTGGCTAATTGCAAGGCGGGCTCATTAATAAAACGTCAAGTTTCATTTCTGATGGAGCCTTCTGATCCAAGTTTGACTGGATATTGTAAAATCACTATAGTTTCTTTTAAAAAAATGGTTTTGGCTAGCGATTTCTGAAGACGACTATGAAGTTGAGGCGTTAGCTCCGTGATGCTATTCTATCTTGAAAGATGCAATTTGATTGAATTCTACTACTGTAATTCAATGGAACACTACTCCTGCTCGGAAGGGTTGTTACTGCTCAACATCAATACTTGTAGGGATTTCTGAAAACCACGTACTCTCACGTTACAACCTACTCGGATGGTTGTACCTTGNTCGCCAGTGAAAACCTTCATATATCCTGAATCGAAGAAATTTTCCCAGAACCTTCAGTACTTGAGGCGCTTTCGCACCCTTGTTTTTCATTTAGCACAAAGTAGTACTTGAAAATGCCGTGGCCGGGAGTGGTTTGAACTTTAACGCTTACAATATTAGGACTATTTCATCGTAGATTTACCAACTCTTTGGGTCACTTAAATGGTCACCACTTGCATTCCAAAAGTTCAGACCAAATGCAAAAAAATAATTTTCCTTGAGACTTCTGAGTTCGATCCGCTTCAGTGGCTTGAGTATGATTTAAAAAGAAGCAAATTGCGGACTCCTTCTTACAATCAATGTGCTATGTATTGAGAGAGTTTATCAATATTGAAATCCCGATTTTTCATCTCCAAGGGGGAGCAGTACTCACAGACAGGTCTTGAAAAGTGGTAATGTCTTGGCGGTCTAAGCTGACGAATCTTTTCCTGATGACATTACTGATTCCAGTGAGCCTACCTGCGTAACACCTGTCCACTCAGAACTTCTTTATGTATGTGTCAGGTTCTCTCCCTCAATAAGCTCAAGTAAAATACCCTCCTGAATTGGAATCGCTTTGAAGCCCTACTTATGTCGTCTGAATCCATGCGCTATCCTTCTCTGTCCTCTGGCCCTTTGCTATGGAGAAGTAGAGTACAGCAGAGCGGTCCCTCCAGCTATATTTCCACCCATTGTTCTCATCCTAAAATTTCAGAGAATCTACTTTTCCGACACTGGGATCTGCTACTGAATGAGAACCCTCCTCGAAAATTTACTACTATATAGTTGTTGCGTGCCTGTACCATCTGATGCAGGAAGAAGACTGAACTATGTATGCAAATATGTTGAGAATAGTGGTCACGTGAAGCCGTTTTCTAAATTTTCCTTTTTCTGCCTTCGTCTGAGCTCTCTCACCCACGTAGCGTCCTTTGACTGCAGGAATTTAAGGAGTTTCGTCTTCTTAGGATCTTCTTAACATCCTTTTTCCCAAGATTATCACTTCAAGCCTTCACTTTTTTATTTCAGTCCACGTAATTTTATTTTATGCTGTCCCAGTGACTGCGCCCCATCTCCGGCCGTTAAAGCCCTGACGCTAGAGGAATGAACTTTAAACTCATACAAAACTCCTGACATCAATAAAGCTTAATTTATAGAGTACGGTGCTATTTGATTTTCTGACCACACCAGTCTAGCCTTGCATTACAGGACAGTGATATGGCCAAACGAAGAGCAGCTTCATTCGACACGTCCCGCGTTTTTCTTTGTTGCAAAGTAGATGCAATAGGAGAAAAGCGTTAATGAGAAACGATTTATCCTCTGACAAAGCTTTTCTAACATAGAAAGGGATATGAGCTTAACAATTCTTTCTCTTGAAAGTTATTGTAGTACTGCTACCTGTATGACTATGTCTATAAACCAGAGCATCGGACTTGTGCCTTGGCTGAAGCTTGAACGCAAAAAATGCCGTGCCTGTTATTTATTATACTTATTGATTTTTATTTATTTATTATTATTTCATAGAAAAAAATTGTACGACCATTTCCTAGCTCTACATGCTCACTCGGGAGATCCACACACTTTACTAAGGCTGATAGCCAACATGATCATTTCATTTCTTTCGTGACACTCTTACGAAAATAACCTATTTGACCTTGGGATTTCCATTAACCATTTCAATCACTTGGAACATCTCCATGTGATACTCCTTGTTCTAATAACTTTGCTCTGAAAACAAACGCGGGTCATGAGGTGACATCGCTACTGTCGGGGGCGACACGTCGATCGAGGACTTACACATATTAGTATGTGTGCAGCTTGGGGAGACGGGCGTTAGGAACGATTTCTGTAATCGATTGGCCGCACGCGGCTGTCGCGGACTTCGTTCCGCCGTTATTACAGCTCTGGCATCCTTCCATCAGCTCAATCGATATGTTACCCTTATTTTAGTCATGATTCTACTGTTAATTCTTTTGTTCCTATATTTCTTACTTGCTGCTGCATTCTGCTACATTCCTTCGCGCGCGGCGTCTCTATGGCCGCGACGCGACAATTTCGTTCCTACTGAACCACACCCGTGCAGCTTGCGGAAACCGCGACAGTGCCTCATGACCTGTACTTTCCGCTTCAGGTCCATCTTTTCTGGCACCTTGAATGTTACGATTGCTATTGTGATTTCTGACTCCGTCGCTAAGTTTATATCTAACAGAATTCAAACTCAGAGTGGCAGTTCGAAGTTTTCATTTCGTCTTTCCAGGACAAAATGGGTTATCTGCTTCATGGCGGGCTTTGTTTTCTGTTGTTCACATGGACGGCTCTGACAGAATCGAGGTGAGCGCTATTCAATGAACTTGGATGCATCCATCCATGAGGTAGTTTCGATAAGAATTCCTAGTTATCGAATATCCTCTCTAACACATTCCAAATGGCAGACTAAATGTTTTTCTCGCTTCACCATTATGTATACCTTGCAAAAGTTGAGTGTCTGGGTCGATTTGTTTTCCTAAAGATAAGTGGCACGGACCTCGAGTCCCTTATTTCGGCGGTCTCCTTGTCTTTAATGAACAACACAAAGAGTAATGAACCTTCATCAACATACCTTGACCATTTTTACCCATTTCAAGCTTTCAAGGGAGGAGCAGGCTTCAGTCGGCATGTTTTTGAAAGTATCACATTGAATCGCACTTACTAATTACTGGGAACTATCAAAGTAGTCACGTTCCAGTTTGACGGTGGTGACTTTTTTTTGTTGCCAGGACAGTGCAAAAGTCTTAGGGAAAGAGATTTGTGTTTAAAAATCCCAGTACGTGAGTAAACATAGACAAGACAGGAGGAGAGGGCTTCATTCTGGGGAAGCACTATAGTGAAATGAAGGAAAATTGATGCTTTTCAAAGGAAAGAGGGAACAATAACGTTATGTTCCACAAGAGCTTCATCATATGGATCTTTCTTGGGAATATCTTTTTTCTGAGCCTCTTTGTTCAATCGCTCACTTGGCTGGCTTCAATTTTCTCGTGCAAGGATTTCAGTACTGTATAAGTTAAATGTATGAAGCTCAAGTAATGAATTCGACGGAACGTCTTTAGAGCCTGTGGAATTATTCCTACTCATGAAATAATGTGACGGAGGTGCTCTAATGGCAAGTAGCGCACTATCTCCCACGCACGGTCGGAGGGTTCGAATGCCGAGTCGATATCCGCCTAGGCCAACCAAGACTTCCATCCCTCCGGGGTCAGTTAATTGGAAGCAGATTCGTCTGGGAGGATGAAAGCGCTGAATTTCACATCGGTGACTATAAAGTAATAAAAGAATAAAGTTCTAGCATAATTAATCTTGTATTCGGGATGCGCTCCTTATACGATTCTTATCCTGAATCCTATCTCTTTTTTGATGCGTATAGGGCCCATAGAATGACTTGTGAGGGCCACTTGATGTATGATTCACAGCTTTTATCCTCCCAGACGACTCTGATACCTATTAGCCGACCCCGAAGACATGAAAGGCTTGATTGTCCTGATCAGAGATCGATTTGAAACCAACCGCCTGACCACACGTGTGTGATGATACATACGCCCGTTGCCACTACACCATTCCTGCTCCGTTGTGAGTTCACCATGTAAGATTCTTGTATGAAAATGTAAGAAAAAAATCACGCAAAAAATGCAAAATTTAGCTCCTATCCCGATAGCGAGCCTACAAGCACGCATAAACGTCAATGTTGAAAGGCGCTGTTCATGATAAAAGTGGTTTTCGGGTCTCCCCTCCCCCCTCCAGGAATACCCTGTGTGGCCTCCAAGGGTAACAGGATCGACCCTCTCGCGCCCAAAAACTCAACAGTTAGGGCATAGTGCGAGCCTTGTCACTGGATTGCCCGGACTTCCCGCCCTTTGACCACTGTCGCGTCAGATGAGTATCGAGGCGATGCGATTGCGATATTCGCTCTAGGACTCATTCACAATAGCTGATCGCCGAGTATGCCGCCTGAGACAATGTTTTTCTCCTATTCTTTTATTCTCTGATATCCTTTTTACTGTTGTGATCATTAATTTAATTTTCTATCCCAAGAGGCTGAAAAAGGTGGGCTTTTTTGCTGCTACTAGGGTTTTCTTGCCTACATGTGCTTGTAACTAAATGAATTATTCTTACCGAATAGTCGGTACGAGTTTAGACTGACGAACGAAGGCAACTTCTCCAAAACCTCGAGTTCCTCTGGGGACTATTTCTATCCTGATTCATACCATTTCTGTTTAGGCATCTAACGGAACAAAAACGATTCGATATCGACATCGCTAAACGGCTCGAAATTAGCGACTTGGAGGGCCTCGGTGGGTCTAAAGAGATTCAGATCCACTCAGATTCAGATACACAAAGTTAATACACAGATTACTTCCAGAGAGCTATCCCTTAGTGACCGATGTGCCTGATGTCGAGACGACAATGGAATCGCAAATGCAAAATGACAGCTCGAATCTATCGGAGGAGCATTTCGATCCTGTTAGAGGATCCAACTTTTACGAAAAGCGCTTTGATCCATACATAAAAAGGTTCAATCCTTATGAAAAGCGTTTTGACCCGTTTACGAAGCGATTCGACCCTTTTGAGAAGCGGTTTGATCCGTATTTCAAACGGTTCGATGGAACCTATGGTATCACCGAGGAGTCAAGTCCACGTGATAGACGATTTGATCCATACTCTAAGCGATTCGATCCGTTTTCAAAGCGATTCGATCCCATCTCGAAACGATTTGATCCATACTCGAAGCGATTTGATCCGTTCTCGAAACGATTTGATCCGTATTCGAAACGTTTCGACCCGTTCTCGAAAAGATTTGATCCATATTCGAAACGGTTTGATCCGTTCTCGAAAAGATTTGATCCGTACTCTAAACGATTCGAGGTCTACAAGCGGTTCGACCCGTATTCTAAAAGATTCGACGTTTTCAAGCGATTTGAGCTGCTCTCAAAACGGTTCGATCCCTATTCGAAACGATTCGACATTCTGAAGCGATTTGATCCATTTCCTTACGAGACCTATCCCGACATAACGGAGCGCATCGATCCGGACGAGTTGACACACTACTACGGACAACTGGACATAAATCGAAACGTCGTCGATCCATACGCATACCATGTAGGATTTGAACGTTAAACATGCTAGCTATTGTCGAGAATTTCACATGATATCACTGATTTTGTGCTGTCGACTGTGAATGAAACGATTATTAATACAAACATGTTGTGGACAGTTTTACATAAAGTAAAACCGATTACGATAAGGACAACATGCATGAACTATTGATTTTTTTGTAACTTCATTCTTTTAATTCCTCTCAAAATATTTTAACTATAAAAACGAGCCGTAAATCGAGTGATAATCCCCGATAAGAGGACGTTCAAATGTTGAAAGATTTCTATTTGGCTGGCACAATGGATAAGCACGGGACCCGTGAAGCATGGGAGCGCTGTTTGGCAAACGTCCAAAACCAGACATTCTACCTTTATCACAACATTCACACCATTCACTATGAAGTGCAGGGAAAACAGACCTTCGTTATTGATTAGAAATGAACAATGGCCGTTTTTTAGCATACAAAAATAAACTATCTGTGGAAATGTCACCGATATATCACACCACGTGCATCCATCTGTGATAGTGCCAATTAAGTTCGATTAAAATCAGTTTTGATGAGTAATTAAAACTTTCTCGGATACATAATGTATAGAGAACCTTCAAAAACCCCTTTCACGTCTTTCGGAAAGCTTATGTTAACCTCCCCCCGCCATGTTGAGGATTCCGAGGGCGGACTAAAGGAAATCTTCCTGACCGCTCCAATGGGGTTTCTACGGATGGTGTTAATACATACACTAGGAAACCTTTATGGATTATTGATAACAAGAATGAATTGAAATAAAATGGGTCGAAGTGGTGTAGTGACAAGTGGCCCGCTATCACGCAATCATGGCCGAGGGTTCGAACCCTATCGATAGCTGTTTAGCCCACTATAACGTTTAGAACCTAACTATATAAGTCCTGTGTCAACCAACTATTCCATCCCTCCGAGGTCGATTAATTGGTACCAATCCCGTCTGGGAGGATAAAAGAACTGACGTGTTTGACGGCTGGCCATCGCAACTCGTTCAATACGCCACCACGATTCTGAATAGAAGTCGAATGGATGATTTTCCGAAGACTCCAACCCTTTTTACGCCATTAAAACGAGGAATTAAAATGGTATCAAAAACGTAGCCATCAAAGCAGCTTAGTAGGTTCACCCTGGCCCCGATGAACTTTATTTCAAGAGCCTGAACATACTTAAATGCCGTTTCAAAGATATGGTCCCCATTATTCCCGCAAATGAATTTTTCTGTTCCGATATTCGGAAATGAACTGGCATCAATAATATCGATTTCTTGAAATGTTCTCGAGAAATGAAAGAGACCTAGCAATCTGCTATTCGATTGCATCTGCAGGGAGAGCTCGATGAACCTCGTCGGATTCGAAAAACTCAATAGAAATTGCTTTTAGATTGAACGAGTCAGGAAGATGAACTTGTGCCGAGAAAATTTTTCGCATGCTCCAAAGAATCTGGGGAAAGTACCGAGAAAATGACATTTTTGAAAGTTTTTACGGGAAGGAATGAAGTATGAGCTCTGCAGATGACATTTCTGAAGGGGATCAAAGCGAAAGTGTTGATATCTCGTATACACAAACTCTTATATTGTGGATTCCCACAATTCGATTATTACTTATTTATTACAATTCACCTTATTTACTTATCTAACTACTATTTATTCAGCACTATTTATTTGTTATCATTTCTTTGTTTACTTATTTACTTACCATTGTCTCATTTGTAAGTTATTATTTACTTATCCGTTCGATTTTTACTTTTAATTTTATTTGCTTACTCCATAATATCTATCATGCTTTTAAACCCATAAAACTTCGATTTTGAATGAAAATTTAAAATATGAGACCCAGTAGCCGTAGTTCATCGCGGCACACTTATGTATACCTCCAAATGAACGAGTAATTCAGTTGTAACAGGTATTCAACAAGCTTCATGAAGAGTTTCCGCCACTGCTTCAGCAAATTGAGCTGGATTTAAAAGGAGTAATCTCAGTTTGAAAAAAAACTAACGAAAAAGCTCATCAGAGCTACAGAAGTACGGCGTGGCCACCCATCGCAAGTCAATCCGACAAAGGACTTCATACAAATATAAAATGACCATAAGTAGCTTTCTAGTAATCGCTATGATAAAAATAAACAAATCGCTGACTTAGTGCCCTTTTTATCCATACTTTTGATACCCCTTCCTCGAAACTGTACCTATTCTCATCTTCGAAAAAAGTTTGGATGCCCTGTTTCGGATGAGTTTTATCGAAGTATCAGCCCCTAACTATCAGGACAACCATCTACATATCCATTACAGTCCTTTTACTGGTAATTGTTCTCAGTAATAGATTTAATGTAAGGATTGTTCTGATGTACAGGGAGTACAGCAGGTTTTGAAACACCGCCCACCCCCCATACCAACCACAAGGCACTTATTGTAAAGAGGCTACAATAACGATTGTTCTCAAACCCGTTTCACAACGACAAACTGCTGCACATTGGACAGTGTTCAATTCAAATCAGTTGGGGTATGCAGTTATTCTTGTACATTCGTCTTCGTCAAACTATTCTTGAACATACTCTGCTCAATACCCATGGCACCTCATCCATACTGCTGTTTTGATCCCAATCGATACGTATAAAATGTATTATCCGCCTGCTGGAGGAACATTCTATTTAGTTCTACTACTATTTCTATTTTCTTTTGGGAAATCGGCAGAAGGATTTATCAAGACATTCATTGAGCAATAAACCCTTCACAGATATTTACGAGCTCTTAACTAGGCGATTCCTCCCCTTCCTGGGCTGGGTGCAAGCTCTGTACGGTACTGAATGAACAACGGATGGAATTACTCAATTACTGTCAGGTAACAAGTTTGTAATGTTAATATAGATAAACGGTAAAGGGCTAAATGAGAGGTGTGTGCATGGTGTTCGTGTGGGGGTGCACACGCCCCCGAACTGTATTGGGTCGTATGGGCTGTTATCAGCGGGAGGCTGGCTGGCGTCATTGCCACGGTGCCATCGGCCGATTCGTGGAGCCTCTACAACTTGAAAAACCCGTTTTTACTACAGCCTTCATCATCTGTGCAACAACTTCAACATCCCAGAAAAACCCCCCTAACCCTCCCTGCCATCCTTATCATTCCATCAACTGATTTGTTGCCCTAAACGCGAAATGCTAGCTGTAATCCTTTGATGGAGATTAAAGCTTGTATTTTGTGTTACGGGCGGCAGGTGCACTTTGCTATGACTTCGTGTACTACCTACATGAGTAAACTATTTGTTTATTACTGTTGTTGTTATCAGATACAGTAAGTATGACGTAAGTTGTGTATGTATGTCTAACGTCTCGTTTCTTGCCGAAACGCATTGTACGACTTGAGAAACGAGGACGATTCCACGGACAATTTAATCGGAATCGCATTCCTGCACAATCTTCCATGCCCTTACTCTTATTTTCACTACTGCCAATCCAATTCTATTCCATTTTACGTTATGAAATTTAAAGGGCAACTTTCAGCCATCGCAAACATAGTGCAAAAATAAATACTGTTATCTTAGTTGATAAAACTTTACAGTTTGAAAAACAATGATAGCCTACCTTGATTAGTACCAGTTACGAAAAGTTGATAAGATCCTTTGATCTTAGGGAGTTATGAAAGCTTCCAGAACACTTTGGGATCATTTTAAACCCAACCCAGATCCCTGACCACTATCCACCACCAGCAAAATATGAGAAGGTAGTCCCAGTCATGTCTTATTCTTGGGCACAAGCGTTGCTCTATTTCACCGCCATTTTCTACTTCCATCACATCTCCTTTACCAGTTTTGAACTATTCCAATCCAATAGTTCGTTGTGTCATCAATAAAACACACCCCACGAAACCATTAGTTCACATTGTCCTTCAACAATGAAATCGTTTCTTCAATCGACATTCCACCATTCAAGAACCTGTTCAATCAATGGTTACTGAATCCACTGTTTACATTGATATAAATATAATTTAAAATCTTTCTAATTTCAAGTCATATATTCCAGTTCAATAACGACGACACATAACTGTATTTGGTTTAAACTGGCACAATACACACCAACGAATGCACACAAACACAAGCAATTGCAAAAAACTGAATGAGCCGAGAGATCGATTAAAAGTATTGATATCGATCGCCATTTGATGTTGGTGCGATCATTGTTCGAGGAAGTGCCCGAGGTGGATTGTAACCACTCGACGCTGAAATGGCACATTTAAACCGATTTTAATTAGTATGGAGAGGTTTTCTACAACGACAACTTATCAAAAAAAGTCTGATGCCTTGGCTCAGTTCGAGAAAAAGTAGCACCCAGAGCTGCAGTGGGCTCAAGAAGACGTATTTCAGAAGGTGGGGGCGTGGCTTGAACCCATTCTGGGAGGGCGTGAATGAACCCACACGCAGAAGGGACGAATTCTTCTCGTTTTAACACTATCCCGGCCTATGGAGTTCGTACTGCATCGCCATGAGCCCTTACTGGAACCGTTAGCGACTATACAAGAGGAGCATCAAAGTTGAGTTTTTGGACGATGGAACTCAGAAGCTCCACACCCATCAAAAAGTGGTACTCCTTCTCCCGCTTGCAGTTGGTGCATATTTCAGAGGGTCCCAATGAAGAGCATGGAATGAATCCTGCCCTCTCTGCCTCAACCCAATTCTCTAGAGGGATAAATGCAACTCGAACGTCTATTCGTCCTAGCATACCGTCTAGGGATCTTTCAAAGAGAAAGAACGCTCCTGATAGACTGTGATGTAGAATTGTCAGGTAAAGAACCACCAAGATGAGAAAAGATCATTGAAAAGAAATCTTATTCACTTTATTGATCAAAATGTCCAGTAGGTTAAGGAGAGGTCTGTGGTAGTAGAATCAGAGATCTACAAAGACATCGGTGTTCATCTCCATGAATTTACTGGGTTACCAGTTCAACTGGACAACAAACACAAACCATTCAATTGCTCTATCGATGTAAAAATCGTGGTAATAATTGGCTTCCAACTAACCGTATACTTGGTCGACCCTGTAAAGTCGTCGACGGGAAGGCGTTCCAAAGTATGCTCCTGCCGATGAAAACTGTTCCGGGTATCCCTGAACAATTGAATAGTTCATTTTTCTTCCTCTATTTCTGAATCTTATCAATTCTGTATTATTTATTTAATGGTATCTCCTCACTTTGTACAATGGTAAGAAATAAAATAAATGAATAAAATAAAAATAATTTAACTAGCCATATAACCCGTGATCACAAATAAAAAAATATTAATTCCTACGAGTTTGTCGTTTCTTTTCGCACTGAAGTCTGAACACTGGTCTTCCTTAATTTTAATAAGGTAATTGTGGTCCAAGCGAAGCTACGCGACATTGCATGGTCATGTAAAATGAAGCCACGTTCGGTGGGCAGGAATGGGGGATGGCACTGTTCGTGCTTGGATTCCCACACATACTCGTCAAATCTCTGATAATGGACTCACATTATCAGACAGAGAAGACCGTAATCCTCATCGAGCCGCTCCATTCAAGTCTGACCAATACGATGTGCGCTCCAATCACCCATTGAATTGCTACGATACGCGATGGGCTCGCGAAACGCGCTTTGCCGCTCAAGGGGTGTAGTGCAGTGGNNACGAAGTTGTCGCGTCGCGGGGAGGAACGCCGCGCGGGAAGGAATGTAGCAGAATGCAGCAGCAAGTTAGAAATACAGGAACAAAAGAACTAACAAGGGAATCCTGCCAAAAGTAATAATCGCATAGCGGGTGAGCTGTATGAAGAAGGCTAGAACTGTTATAGCGAGGCAAATGGTCCGCGACAGCCGCGTGGGGAGGATCGATTACACAAAACCGTCCCTACTGCCCGTCTGCCCCGCTCGAGCATACGTAAGCATAGCCAGGGACGTGTACTCTACAGGATGAGCTACAAGAGGTGACATTCGATGAAAAAAAAGAAAAGGTGACAATTCGCAAAGCTAGATCGAATTCATAGGGAACTCCTATTCTCCCTAACAGCATGTGGCCATACCTTTGCCTATAATGGACTCTCACTACACCTTCAGAGAAGAAAACCGTAGTGATTGAAAACCGCCTGGAAGTTTTCCGCTTGACTAAGCCATTATCCTGTTGCGCACTTCTGAACTAGAGAGAAGAGCAGCAAAGAACCAGGGGGCCGAGTTAAATCGGTTCTATGTAGTCGATTCGCCGCAAGCGGCAACCGCGGACTAGTTGCCTCGTTAAAAAAGCGGGAAAACGTCCTTCATGCAGCTCAATCCATATGTTATTATTGCTCTTGGCATTATTGTCACTGTTACTTTTTTTTGTTCCTGTATTCCTTACTCGCAACGCTGAATCTGCTCCATTCTGTTACGATTTCGATTCGACTCGAACATTTCGATTCAACTACACCGCCCCCGAAGAACAATGACGGATTAGTTTTGTGGCCCTTCGCCACGTGATCCTAGGGCTTTATTGGTCTCTGCGTCTCTATACCATCCGTGGAAGACAGTTAGGCAGAAGAGAAGCGTATTGAAGAACAGGCGATCGATCACAGCGNTGACATTTTCTTGGAAGCTCCGTAAGCATAAATGTCAATTAGATGACGTGAACATGCAATCTCTCATGAATAATCCTCTAGAAAAAGTAAGGCATTCGGAGCTTCGCCCTTCCACGAATACATTGTCTTATCATTACTGCAGTACTAAAAAATGGTCAATAAATTTGTGTATGAATTGGTGTAAAAGATTCATTTCACTTCCCGCGCGCGACGAGCAACGAACACGTGTGGCTCTGCATTCAGGCCTTTTACTACGTCCGCGGCTCGGAGTGCTTTTACTCTCTATGGCATCTAATTCTGTTTTCCATTATATAGAAGAAGTGAGTTTAATGATGACTATGGTTTGTGAAGATTGAAGGCACAGTTCACGATAAAAATGGTTCCTGAGATCCCCCAACAGGATGAATTAGAGTCCCCTGCGTATAGCATATCTGGCACTATTAGGTCGGAAAACACCTAGTTAGGAAGCTATAAAGGCTGAAATAATGACCCGTGTGTATCCTCGGACGAGTTTCACCGGCATTGTAGAGGCTGCACCGATCACAAGGGTACCCACGTGGGAAGTTCAAACAACTTGTGATGTGACATGACCCATAGCTACAGTGAAAGACAGTTCTGTACATTTATGACATCATCTAGTCAGCTCTTTGTGCAATTGCAATAACTGAAATCTCGTCCAGATACCCATTCCATGTTATTTCCGTCATGGCCCGTCCAACCTCTAGTTTCCCTACTTTTGAAGAGCCATATTCTTCTCGAAATCGACGAATTCTTCGACATCGATGAACCATCCCCATTCTATACTACCGCTTTTCGAAGAAGAACGGAAATATCAAAATTATCGTGAACTGCCTGTGCCTTTAAGCATGGTTATTGGCCAAACAATATTAAAGAACTTGTAAGTTGGGGGACGAACGAAATAACGCAACGTCGGCAAGTAGCAGCACGCCGCGCGCAGCGTATACTCTGGAAAGTCCTTGCGCTCATAGAGGACCTTCCAAACAGTAATTGCTACAGATACCGAATGTTATCTGAAATTGCTCGATCATCCAGTCGTCAGAAACCAGTTCGAAGAGCAGACTGGGCGCTTTTAGACCGTGTATGGGTGCGTGCACAGAGAATAATTTTAAATGACCAGTAAATTGTACTCACATGATCAACAGGAGGCTCGTAACTCATTCGCTTCAGGTGTCCATCTATTACACTGCTACAATGGGATCCTTTCGTTGATGACATAAAGTTCCTGCTAAGGTCATAAGCGTAAGTGAGGACATAGAACTCGATCAGAAGCGCCAACACCCATTCAGAAATTGTAGTTGCCAACCAGTTGACGTAAAACTGTAAAAGGTAAAAGTTCGACGTCTCGGATCAAACTCAAGCCTTGGTATGCCTGTAGAGCAGTTTTTCTATACCACTCAGAAGTTTTGCAAACGTACCGGGTCTCCCTGCTTATGTCGCACTATTCCTGTAGGGGGCACATCTTCGACGGGCTTTGTACCATTTACGGATTTCACAAATGGCTCCCCGAACAAACATGTCATATCTGAAATAAGAGTAGCTTGGCCTGGACTAATTCCTGATTACAAATGAAATCATTAATCAGAAAAAAAAACAGTTTCATATCAAAAGCAACTGAATGCGGTGAGCATTCACTTTGGTATGAAGCACATGTCACAAGAATGACCGCGTTAAAATAAAGTCCAGCTTATTGGCATCATTGAAGACTTCTGTACCACCTTTTGGTTGTTCTTGAGTAAATTTTAAAGGACGGATGTGCGCTTTGAACGCTCAATCGTCCAATTGGACTAATATACATATATTATACATATGTACGTGCAACGACGAGGGCCTATAGGTGAAAAAGATCACATCCCCTCCCCCTCATATAGATCTAACCTCATGAAACTGAAGCTAAAACCTACTCGCACATCCCCTCCCCCTCTCTCCTCTCGTATTACCTTCAGAAGACTAGATTGAAATAGAGCGCCTCTTAATTTGTGCTTTAGTGCTCAACCGCCTTGAATGTAACCACGTATTTGGCATCAAGATCGAAAACTACTCGACTCTTTGTGCACAAACTAATAGTTTGAAAATGCCGAAAATTATTTGAGCTTATCTTCCAAGTGTGCACACGCTGAAGGTTCAGACCTCCCCGCAAATATGTGGTCCAATTTTGGGACTGTTCAGTCAGTGAGAAATAATTACATTTCTGGTTTCTCGATCGATTTTTTTTGGGGGGGGAAACATAATAATGTCAAACCAGTATCAGGAGCTATACTCAGCAAGATGTCCTCATGAAAATAGCGGATCTTACTCGCATGGCACCCATCTTTGAACGATGGGCGGCGCTATGCAGAAAAGGCGGGGCTAATAGATACATATTGGGCGTCCAATAAACCCGCCAGATGTACCCGATTCGTATTATGAAAGATGAAGAGTCCGAAAACCTTTTCACTTTGCTCATCCCACCCAATGATTGAAAAGAAACAAATCGTCGGAAATTATGTAAATATATGTAACATTCATAAAAGTCAAAGGAATAGACGAAGCTAAGAAATCGGATAGAAATGAAAATTAAAATCTAACCATTTCCATATGTAAGATATGTAACGAAGCTCTCTCGTATGTCACCCATATTTAAACGAGGAGGGGTAGACCTATGAAGAAAAGGCGGGACAAGTTGATATTGGGCTACTAATTTTATATTCCTTTTCCTTTCTATGCTTCAGATCATCTTTACCAGCTAGGCCAAATGCTTTTAAGCTTTCCAAACCCCAAGAATTATATTACTTCCGTCACAACTCCTCTACACATCAGTTATAGTACCTCTGATAGTAGAACTAGCAATTTAACAGCAACTTTCAAAAGTATTTCAGTAAAAACTCACGAAATGCAAGTAAGGCGGTGACAATCAAATTGATCAGAACGCGGAAACATATGACACGCAGCGGTATCATTCTTGGCCTAAATTCGAAACGATTTATCTTTTGGAGGAGAATTTTTAAAAAGTATCGGACTATCAAAAAGTACTGAGCACGAACTCGAACTTGGACACATGTGGCTTGGGAACTTCCCTTATTCATTACACCATATACATACATATAAGAGGTCACCGGATCTGTTGAAGTTCCAACGGAATATTCATCACACTAGGCGGGGGTGGTGTAGTGGCAAGTGACGCACTTCACACACGAATGGTCACGAGTTCGAATTTCGGATCGACATCCGCCTAGGCCAACCAAGCCTTCCATCCATCTGGAGTCGGTGAATTGGTACCAGATTCGTCTGGGAGGATAAAAGCACTCACTTCTACATCGGCTGGCCACCGCAAATCATTGCATAGGCTACATACGCATTCAATCCGCCACTACATTCTGAGTGGAAGTCGAATGCTGGGCGCATCCCTCGGACGGGATTGATTAACGTTAGAAGACTTTACCCTATATCCTTTATTCATCACACTAGGTACCCCTGTTCATAAGGGATTGCGTTATACCCCAGAAAGTACATGCCTCTCAGAAGCCGAATATTTTGAATAACTCAGAATCTTTGAGATTATACTCGTATCGCGAACTATGGCGAAAAGCGCTGTCACCAAAGTAGAAACTAGCAGTAGAATGTGATAAAGAAGCATCATCGCTTTTATTCCTTCCTATTCTGTTTTGCTAGTAGTAAGGGTAACTTTTGCATGTTCGCTAGAAAATGTAATGACAAGTGATGTGCTACAGTGTAAATTAATTGACAGTAGTTTATTTCCTCACCTGAATCCACATGACATAATAGTTTGCCCCCAAAAGTAGACTACAATGCCAATGAAAAGCATAAACGCTCCAGTGTTATGCGTGACTAGCTGCGGCCCTTCCTGAACCAGTGAGATTGGATTTTCTTTTTGAGACAAAAAAAAAGAAAAGAAAAGAAAGAAGGAAAGTGAATGAACTGAAAAAATAAAAGACTAGTAGAGGAAAAGTTATGAATAGGTGGATTATAAAGCAGTGTCTCATTCCATACAAGACTTTGAAAAGTGGCGGGAAAAGTGTCTGATCAATATCCTTCCGGATCGCTCACTAGGCCGCCCAATGTAGATATCAAATCTCCGTTAAACAAATCAAGATTACTACCTCTGATATCCTTTTACACTTTTTTTTTCAAAATTTATGGCTTGTAAAGATTCATCAAACTCATGAGCTTCTCGAATATGGTAAGCCGCAAGTATAATGAAGGGTTTCAGCTCAGGCTAAGGACTGTTTTGGGAATTCTATATGAGATGAGACAAAAACTAGGGTACAGATCTAGCCCTGATCTTCCATGGGAAATCTGGAACCAGGGTTTTTCCTTCCCTTTGAACTCCTCGCATACTGAAGAAAATGGACCAAAATCCGAAAAACTCGTGCTCATCGAGCTAACATATCCCGAAGTTTTCCCCCCTAAATCCTTCTCAAAATCGAAATAATTTCATGAACTCCACCTGAAAATTCGAGACTATTGAAGCTCCTAGAGCTGCGACGAATCCAATAAGCATGAGAATTATAGAAAATATTCTCCATACAACTATATTGTTCTCGTAGTCTCTTGCATGAAACAACATCGTTTGCCGATGGATCAGGAATACTGTCACCGCCACTGAAATCAATTTCTATTTTAGTTTGCTACCAATGTTATTGGATTCCCAACTGCTAACCCAGCAAAAATTGTTTCAAATAAATATTTGAACCATTTGAAACGACATGGTTGAATAAATACGAGAATTTCTTCAAGAGTATTGCTTAAACCCTCTGTCTACATGATGTTGACTCCCTCTGCGTTAGTGCCTAGATCATAAACAGGACGAGATATCACTTATTCTCAGTTTATCATGTCCATTATCAGTACCCAAAAAAGGTGAAGTTTTCTGGAAGTCCTCCAATTAAGCATGTCAAATGGGTCAATTACCGTTACACAGTCTTAACTCGGTAACGGCTAGTCGATCCGTGGACGATTTTATTGAGCAGTAACCATGGGAGAGAATGCATGGAAACTCACATCAATAGATGGTAAAGAATCGAAAGTAAAGAAGTAAGTGGCAGCCGCCATAAGTGACAGAGCAGACTGTGTCCAAATGATGAACGGCTAGAAAGCCAAGACATCGGAGGAAAACGATCACGGTAAACCTCTCCTCATCATCTTGTAATACACTGATTTTTGTCAAAATACTTAGGCATTCCCTGTTTCTCAGGCTTTCATGAACATCCGCTCTTTGTAGCACCGCCTTCACTCCCATACTGGAAAAGGGTGTGGTGGTTAAGTGGAGCAAGCAGTAATCATAAGGGCAAACACTCGCTACCTTCCTAGAATTCTAACACTGTGCATATGCTCGACCTGCCCCCTAAAGCTCTTTAAAATTCATGAAATATTTCTTTATCATTAAATTTTTTCAAATTGTTTGCCTAATTGATTAATTAGTCATGAAATAGCCAACGAAGCAACGGAGCCGAAAAAAAAGCGGTAACTATCTCGACCCCTATTTTCTCTTTTAACGGTAATATTATTTATTCATACATTCGACTCAGGTAAGGCATTTTTAGCAACGCCCATCCTATCCCTTAAAATTACCCACTGATCTGTCAGGTGCTGCCGCTGAACGTCGTTGCGGCGATTCCGAAGCTTTAGCGACACGGACACCACCTATCCGTAAGAACCCCGCCCTACCCGCAAGCTGCCCTAACAAGAGAAGAGTCTTATACCCTCGTTCAATACTGTTTCGTTAGAAATATAATAGAAAAGTGCGAATTGTAACTCTACTGTATTTCAGGGGTTCCACAATATTCCTCGGAATATCTCAATATCTTCACATACTAGCAAGACCACACAATTGTGTACCTAAGTCCATTTGGCACCTTGGCTGAATCTAGTTCAAACTGAATCCTTTATAATTATGCTCACCAAAAGATGACTCAATACAATGTTTATCTTGGGACCTTTTCTTAGGTACCTTCTTAGTACAGCGACCCCCCTACACTTGTATAGAGTGCGCGTTAAGCGGAATGGGAAACGGACTTCAAAAGCCGAATCGAAAGTTTATAGGCACTTTAGGCGATTGCCCGTGATAAAAGACGTTCCCGGGTATAACCTCAGACATTTAAGGTATGCGATAAGAGCTGGAGTCATTCTGTCGTGGTGTGACATGTAGGCGCAAGACTTTATAGAACGCTTGAACGGTCTTAACGACACTTCCTTATGCAAACATTGTTGTCAATACAAATGAAAAAGTCATCAGCCAGCATGTGAGCTTTGCTCGTTAACCATGGAATCCCATCATCGCTATCACAGTAACCCTAACCTTCTGAACTCGACTGATTGGGAGACCTGAACCTGCCACTCACTCGAAAAATCTGCTCTACTAGAGCGTTTATCGACTGTATAAGCCCTAGTGCTTTCCTCTACAAGTAATGAACTACCTACTGCATGACAGTACCTAGCAGTACACTACCAATTCAGCCGCCGTTCAATCGATGTGGGAATTTAGTTTATGCACGGAGCGAATCCCTCTTAAACATTCATGGCTGATGGACTCCAAACCTGGCACAAAGCCTGGAACTGGAACTTCACAAATCCCGTCGTTCAACGATCGAATTGAAAAAAGAAAAAGAAATTTAACTGAATTCGAAATTTTTTCCTAACTAGACCGTAGTTCACTCAAGAAAGCTCCAACTTCCGCTTGACCCGACCCGATACCGTTATGGGCATTTTTGCCATGGAAATGGGAGAATGCTTCAAATTCACTAGTAAAAAATAATAATAAATGCCGTTCAGAGTTTCCCGAACTCTTAAGACCGTTGATAACAATATTCCCCGTCAAACAGTTTTTCCGAAGTCACGTTGTTCGATCAATATAGATTCGAGGGTATTTATGATGGCATTAAGTAAGTTATCAATGTTTCAGTAAACTGCAAAGTAGTCTACTGATGAACTCATTGAGCTACAGTTGATAACTGAATTAACTTTCCATGAAACTTACAAAAAAATGCAGAAATATTGAAAAGTTGTCCAAAAATGCTGCTTTCCGGCTGTATGGCGCCACAATCGCTGAAAGCTCAAAAGCTTAAACATCGACCACATCATTGTTGTCCTTCTGATTTCAAAGTTCAGATGTCACTATCTCACCTAATGAATGGAAGAAAAGCATCAACATGCCCTTTTGAAACGGCAATTCCATATCTGAAATCGAACGGTCTTAGTCATTCAAGCAATGCCGCTTTTATGGCATATGATTTATGGTTGATCGAGCTTTTGAAGGGGCTGTTAAAGCAAACAACTTTGCCGGAAAACTTTCGTTTTATTAGAATTTTTCCGAGCGAAAGCAATAAGCCAACATAGAATTGTGAATAGCAAAATGGCGAAAAAAANAAAAAAGGGAAAATGATTTGAAAGCTACACGTCTTCGTTATTCCTGCATAAAATTGTTCGAGAAGAAAAACTTCAGAATTCTATGGTCTTTAGTAATGATTTGAAAAATAATGAACAATTAATAAATTGAAAGGGAAAAATCTCCCAGTAACCCATGGCAATCGAACATCTTCAGACGCTCACCCTATGCTCAAATTCTGGGAATCAAAACTACGAAAAACGGACGTAAGTGACCAAAGGAAGGAAATTTTACCCCTTCTACGGAAATTTTCTGATTGAAAAATTTTTTTTTCTATTTAGAAATGCGTGATACCGAATTACAACTACGGAATTCTACAGGGGCATGAGATAAGTAAATGATATTAAAATTACTGCAAGATTCGATAAAGTAGCTAGCCCATTCAGAAACGCTCCGAGGAACAGACCAGTTACCCAAAAAATATGTACGATGATAGCTGTTCAAAAGCTCAAAAGTTGTAGAGATCCTTCAGTTAATCGGGTATACCAGTTCTTGTTAGATTTGTAGATAATTTGTAATTGTGGGGATAAATGGAAAAGGAACTGGTTAATAATAAAAATGTGACAGGACTCTGGACTGTAGATTTTCACAGAGCCTTCCATCGAACCTCACCCTTCAATATAACTTTCCGATCGGAAACAGTTCCAAATTAAAATCGGCTCTACACAATGGTATTGTGGGAACACCTAAGCTTTACTTTACTGCTTGGGACACTTGGCAACAAGTACAGCTGCCCGTAACCATGGTTATGTCGTTTTCAATGGAGTTTTTCTGCAAGCACAGCAAGAGCTGAATTCAAGCTCTTTCAGGACTACTCAGAGGAGAATATATTCAGCATTAGATGCCAGAACAGTAAAAGCGTTCCCAAGTGAATCTAACACATCTAGGAACTGCTCTTAGATAGAAAGGAACGCGAAGACTGCATGGGAAGTTTAGAAGAGAGTACATATAGGTGTCAACAACGAAGTCACATTTCATTTCAAATAGCGGGAAAATCTATAAAAATCCGAATGGCTAGTGAAGAAAAACAAAAAAAAAAGAAAGAAAGAAAGAACTGACCCGATAAAGAAGGCTAGTAATGCGAATAGTACCGATAGTACAGGGAAAAGTGCTAGTTCACCGTGCGCCATACCTGCCTGATAGGGTACGTGTGTGCTGCGTGTGTCGCTATGTGTGGCATTTGGCGACCGTATCATCAACGCCTATCTGTATGTACACGCCCCATACAGACGAATACATCATACTTTTACCTCATATAAAGTATCAGCTAACAAGTTACCAGTCATACTCATCCCGAGTAGTGTTAACGCATTTCTTGCAGTTCGTTCAGAACAGTAGATCTAATGGATCATTTGGACCTACGCTTTTCTGACGCTCAGACCCCACCCACACTACAGATCTGTTATTCGCCACGAAATCAGTAAAGCAGCGAAGTACCAGCCAGTCACTGGCCCTATCGGGGTATAACAACTAGTAATGAGGAGTGAGTACCTGATTTGACTACAATGTACTCAGCAGGTAACCTATACCATTAAAACAGTGGTTTATAGCCAGTGAGTCATACAAGTGAACACCTGAGAGCTCAGAATTCATGATGAATATTGAAAAGGCGAAACCGAAACCAGCAAAGGGAATACACAAAAAGACCGTAAATGCCTCCGGAATTCATTTTTTCGTTGAATCCTCAAAAATTAACCAAATCAAGAATAAACAAAAATCCTAAGCGAACTTTTTCGAAAGGAAGTCACATTCCAGGTGATTTTCTTGGAGTCTCCTTGTACTGAGGCTACTTTGTTAGAACGAAGTAGTACATCTCCCTTGTCCTCTCTACAATGACAAAATTGTCCATTAAGCCTTTCTCTAAAAGCATTGATTACGAAAATAGCGGGAATTAGCAAAATAGTTAATGCTCAAAAATCGATCTCACTTGACTGTTCACACATGAATCATCTGAGATCTAAAATTCCATATGAAAACATTCTAACGATTGTTTGCTTTACTTTTAACCGTATTGTATAGTACATCCAGCAATCTATTAAATTATAGCAGTACTAATCCGACTAAAGTAATTCATAATGAGATTATCGTACTCTACCCTGAAATCGCTTATGCTAAAACAGGTCAGCGCAGGTTGTCAATAGACTGTCAGGGAAACTGACACTGACAGACAGGGGACGGCGGAGACCAAGAAAAAGCACATTAACATTGCCGGAAAAAACCAAAGTACGATGGCTCAGAGAGCGAAATGAAAAAAAGGCGAGCAGAACGTTGGAAACGAAATCAAGTCATGACTCAAAATTGGCGCGCACTGGCCGCCCGTCTCAGATCAGCGCGCGGTCAATCTTATCAATCAATAAGTTGCTGCAAGCTCTTATGAGGTTACATTGCGTAACCCACTATAGCAAAAAATAATTTTTAATTGGATTCTACATTTCCGTGGTATTCAAGTATGCAATGATCGTTGTTTCATCTTGAGATTACTTAATTTGAATGGTATACTCATACTGTCAATAATACCAGTTGATCCTTGTTGGTATACCTCTTCCATCCGTTTTCTTCTGTATCCGTCGATACCTTCTGATAGCCCATCTCATAGAAGTTATCAATACTTCAGAAGAACCTCACATTACAGTACTAATATTCGTTATCAGTCACTCACTTGAACGTCACTATGAATAGCTAACAATTGCAGGAGTGCTTTTTCACGAGTAAATTGTTCCCAAAAAGGGAGTATTTGCAAAGGCAAGAACTATAACTACATCATAACTCTGATGGAGCTTATACAATGGGATTTCCATCGTTGCTTTCAGTACTAGCCGACCAATTGTGATCCCTTTTCATGATCATTTTTCACCGTCTGGACCCTTTGGACTCTCATAGAGTTTTGCGATGAATCTTTATTTTTCGTCGACGGATTTCGAGCAGAAGCTCTCAACCGGTCCGGTAGACTTCAAATGATCTCGTCTGAATACAGTTGGGTTGCATCTTGCAAAACAAATCAGATACCACTACCAAGAAATGTCCGTGAAGTGCCATCTGCTCTACCGTTCACAAAGGTCACAAGGAAAGCTAAGAAAAAATCTCTTTTCAATGAAACTGTCAGAAGACTTGACTTAGCAAGAACGCCCGACGTTCACGTGCACCTCCTCTCAGTTGTAGCGCCTGACGGGGTCAGAATCATCAACTTCGTCTTCTTGATCTTCTCCCTAGCGTTTGTCCCGCACGGGAAACGGGCAGTAGGAACGGTTTTTTCGAGTCGATTTGCCGCACCCGGCTGTCGTTGACATTTGCCTCGTTATAAAAGTTCTGGCGTACTTCATTCAGCTCATCGTCTATTCTTGCAAGTCGTCTCCACTTTTTTCTATCTATGGCATCTTCTGTAGTCTCTTTTGCTTCGACGAGATCATTCTTGATCACGTCCCGCCACCTCTTCTTGAAGGCTAGCTTCCCTTGAGCTTCGAACTTCTATGGCGGAATACGGGTTAAGAATCGTTCCCAGAATTTTGCTGTTTCATATTTATAAAGCACCAAGCACATATATGACACTTTGATATATGTAATGTAGATAACATGTTTTGTGTGCACGGAATCCGTAGATAAACATTCTACGTGAAGATCGTATCAGGTAGGCTCACGACTAACGAGACCAACGTTTCTTTTGCCCAGAAATCCTGGTAATACCTAGCGCACAGTTAAAAACTTGCCGTTTAGATTAATTACCTGATTTTCCCACGTCTGCAGGATATCATGAGTGTTTCTTTTTTTCTGCTATAAACGCTTCTACATCATTCCAGATATAAAACCAGATTTTTGCTTGAACCATCAATTTTTAGCATGGACCATGAAGTTCAATAAAACAATTCTGATTCGATTATTCCACCTATCACTGCCGAACTAACTACAGACGATCGACGAAAAAAAATCGATTTATATTTATTAAAATTACAAAATTCGTCTAATTTGCGATACAATGAATTCCGGTCATTAAAAGCATATCTATATCAAAAGAAATCACATTAGTTGAGAATCAATTTTTGTCATGGCTTCAGTACCAATTTTTGCTGTGAAGAAAGCAATTTACAATAGGAAAATATTCAAAATACATATAAATAATTCACCGGTACTTAAAATATCACATAAAGCTGTGGCAGATATATGAAGTGAGTCATGTAAAACAAAGTGAGGCAAGCACCGTATAAAGGGACAAGCATAGAGAATGTTCAGACGCAATATTAATAAGTAAAAATAATTAAGGTATATGCAATACCCTGCATAAAAACTGAGTATGATCAAATTAGTATAATATTTCGAATACTTCGAGGTTCACTTATAAAATGAAATACTTCAGAAGAGACTCATTAAATAGTAACAACACAAGTCATGGAGAAATTGCAATTACTGGATTGCAGACAGTCATTCAGCTGAGCAACGGAGAGAACAGGCCCGTACGAATTACTACGCAGCCTGAGAGGTGTTTACTAGTTTCTAGAAGTATGACTCTGACCTGAGAGTACTGATCAACTGTGAGGATTGCCTTTAAAAATAGAGATCATCGAATTCTAAAGTTATATCATGAGGGCATCATCGCTGGAATGACTAGAGAGTGAACTTGAGGAAGGTGGTCGACGAGGTTGTTCAAGGTATTCGGCACTTGATAACCTTGACGGAGTGCCTCGAGGTGTTATACCAATCTGTCTGGATGACTGTGGAGTAGAACCATGACGGGATTTCGGAGTCGAACTCATCTGTGGACGACAGCTCATCAGACCTGCCACTGACGATGAAATTGTTGGATCCTCCAGCTAAATAAATATAGTAAATTAGTATCATCACAAGATTTATTGATTGCCTAATGGGATGCGTGGATAAGCGCGCATGGAAGCCGGGTAATCGATACCTATCGTTCTACCGCCGCCTATTTATAAACCCTCGCTATTACTAGCAACACGGCTTCATCACAGAGAGCCCTTTGAACAGCCTTTTCATAATAATTACACAGTATGGAACGCCTCACAAAAGAGTATGGCTCTTTACTTACTTCATATGCTACAAGTTTCAAAACCACGAATGAAAATGTACCTGAGTGTAAGAGGGAGGTGGGCTCGATAGCTTCTTCCTTCGTGGCCGTTGTCTGTTGTTCATCGTAGAAATTCGAACTTCTGCTGGCTTTACCACCCCATACGTAGATAAACTAAAAGCAACAAATTTAAACCTTACTTGTAACTGAGAACTGTACCGTAAAACGAAAACAGTGCTTCAAGAAAGATTAACATACAACGCATTACACACTAGATCTGAAAAATTGGGAAGTGCTGATGCTCCCCATAACTTTTACCCTGGCTGAAGGAAGGGCGTAGACCAATGATCAGAAGCGGGCCAAGGTGGGTTGACCAAGAGACAACACCAGCAACGGCAAGTCCACGTTGGTACACTTCAGTCCCAGCACCTCACCAAAGTATTATACTACCTCTTCACTCCGCTCCTGCCGTTTTAAGGATTTTTTTCTTGGAAGAGCTTACTTCTCATCCACCTCTTATCAAACAGAGCTCTCTCTACACGACATACCTCCGCTGTGGCGAACACGATGGCGCCTCCTGACACCTACGCTCCACATCTTCAAGTTACCATATTCGCAAGGGTGAACAAAAATATATTTTAAAATCCAAAATACGATTTTGATTAAAAGTCGAATAAATGGCTCATTCTACGAGGGTATCCATTAACGCGAAATCGTGAATTTTTGCAGCATTACTTGTTACTGCAAATTACAATAAGCACCTTGCAAAAGTAATCGTGCGCTTTGAATGGTATAGATGTACTGCTACCGAAAAAGAAACAAATTTCCATCATAATTTGATAACCAATTACGGCTTGTTTGGACTTTCAACTCAAGCACTAATCCTTCCAACTGCCCGCACTTTAGTGATAAGCGATGACTGGGTTCCCCATGAGGCGCCCTGATAGCAGCGAGTCATCCAAACAATCTTTACCACTTAGTCAACTGTTGACTTAATGAAGAAGCAATCTCACCTTGCCGCACTTGGTGGTGGAGCATAGAATCGATTCAGTGGAATGTCCTTTACGTCCGATCGATTACGGGACCCACTGGAGCGGCTGAGTGATCTGGACGAGTTCGGCGGAGGCAGTGCTGGATACGACGAATTTGTTGAAGTGACCACTGAGTACGTCCGTAGTGCCACCTGTTGAAATGAAAACATCGTCTAAACACTCAAGAACAACAAACAATAGATTTCACGAAGTAACGACAGTACGTTCATCTAAGAAGAGCATAGGGCTACGGTAGGAAACTCTGCTGTTGGAGAAACATCCCAAAAAAGCTCTGAGTGAGGCAGTATCCTGACTTCATGATTTTCAGTCTTGATTCATGAACACGCACCTCGACTTGGGTTCCCATTTGGGCATGAGGCGGTAGGAGAATGCTGGCCTCTGCCACTCCAGAACCACGTAGCTGATGAATTGAAGAATTCGTATCCATGCGACCATTACCACAAAGAGGATAGTTACTGCAACAGGTACTTGATAACCGTAACTCACACAAAGTTTATTTTCTTCTATGTCAACTGAATCATCAGAACACAAAAAAAAAACATCCCAATCTGATCGAAGTGCCTAAAAGCAAAAAACTATTCTATTTCAATCATTTAAAGCTCGAAAAACTTTTATTTGGATTATACTTCCACTTGAGACTTTCACTAAAGTTCCGACACCCCGAACATCAATCAGCTCGAGTTTACTGCTTCTTTTAGAAACCGAAAACAAATGGTCATCCTAGCCAGACCAATATGGAACCTTAAAAAGTTTGGCCTAACTCGAGCTTTCCCTACACTGAATTATTTCCAGGTAAAATGTTGTCCGATAATAAAAAAAGTAGATATTCTGTGGTAATGGACTAAAGATTCCCAAACTTACAACAAAACAAGAGAAGACAAAAAAATAGGCTAATCTCTCACCGGAAGCAACAGAAGAGAATAATTATGGTGCAGATGAGAATTACGAATCCCAGGAAAAGTATGTATATCCATTCAGGAGACGACTGAAACCGCCCACTGAGATCTGGATAATTCGCACACATCTGAAAAAGGCGTTGTCGGACTGTCACAGACTGCACTCAACCAATTCACGCTACCTTTGGATTCTCATCAGCTCCGTTCTCACAGTCAGGAAATCCATCGCACATCAGTCGACGTTTCACACACTCTCCTCCGATCATCAGTGGGAAGGCACCACAGTCCAGATCCGACGCTGGAGAGGGACACCTGAAAGGAAGCTAACTTGAGGCACGACATGGTGCTCGCACAGACGCCAACGAATGGCCACCCACAGTGGTATATATCTGGCTGTGGCCAATCAACTTCTCAAATAGTATCCATGGATTATTAAAACAGCACCCGGCAATACCAGAACCCATAAATTTTTTTTATAAAAACGGTAGAACAAACTGCATACCGACAATGCCGCTCATCAGAGCCGTCTTCGCAGTCCACTTGCCCGTTACATAACTGAAAAAGACAGATTGGTTCAAGTAACGGAAAAATACGAAAAATTTTCATTTCAAATTTTTTTATTTCGGAAAAATAACGTACAGGCCTATAAATCACAAGTTATCAAGGTACAGAGTAAAATACTAAAAAAGTAAATGGTCTTTAATAACCATACCAGCATACGATCAATGGTGCTCGCACTGTCATCACACGGCCATCGATCAGGGCCCACGTTCCGGCATAATGAGGGAGATTCATCGCTTCCATCACTAGATATGTATGGCTTCAGATGATAATACAATTCTTTGTGGACAAAAATGCTTCCCTGATTTCTCTAGAAGGGAAACCTTCGAAACAACTATACCTCAGGCAGTCAGAAACAGAAAACGTGGCTAAACAATATTTTGCGAAAAACCAGTTCGAGCAGAGCAGAATTTGAGCGGACCAAAAATTTATCTTATTTTACTCGGAAGTGAAATTTTATCGTTACATATCACTACTAAGATCTGCCGATGAGTTGAATATGCTTTCTACCAAATTTCAATTTCCGATAATTCCGATTTTCAGGATGTGAGGGTTTCAGCGTGCAATTAATGTCAGGGGACCTAACAAGTAAATATCGGTTGTCTCAGGTCGACAAGTAAACTTGGTTATTTCTCGGAATTATTTCTGCCAGAAATGATAAACGTTGTTCGGCAAGATGTTAACCCACAAATAGGACTTACAGTTGGAACTACACTACCCCGAACCTGATTGCAACTCATCAGAAGCCAACTATTTCTATTTAGCTGATGTTGTAAATATGGATCGTTCATCTAATTTCTCTGTTTTGCAAAAATTGTAGTTTGAACTGTTCAAATTCTGGCAATCACTCACGCACAATCCGGAACACGATCACATTTCTTCGCCGAATGAATACATGATTGCCCGTCATCACATGCAAATTCCCACGAAGCGCATGGCACATTGGGAAGGCACATAGACGGACTGAATATGATAGAAATTAAGGAATTCCAAACCCTTTTGGAAAATTCCATACTTATAGAATGAACTACGAAACGCAGGAACCCATAAGGTAAATTAAAACGTAAATGTCATTCATTTGCCATCAATAGCAGGAATTTCTCTCCACAGGCACAGCAAGACAGACTTGAGACAACCATCAAGTTCGCCTTCCTGTCGCAACAGTACCATCCTACAAAAAGCACCCTGCGCGAGAGCGGCGTGAAATGGCAGCTGTATCGCCAGTAATCTATTCCCTTTTCCTACCTTCCTGATTCTGATGCCTTCCCCAAAAAAAGAAAGAGCATCACTAAACGATGTAAATACAGACGTAACTAGTTCTCTCATACTAATGGCTGTTTTGTAAGTATATAATATTAACCTTACTTTTCACTACTGATAGCGTATCCCAACGGACACATGCATTCGTATTTTTGCTTTGAGTCTCGGAGGAAACGGCAAAGATGTGAGCAACTTGCTTCTCGACAAACCCGTGAGGATATACCAACTGAAAAACCCAATTGAAGGTAGAAATTATATGAAAGTTACAGGTGCCAGGAAAAGAAATACCCACTGAATCTCTGCAATACGGAAGTTGTTCTCGGTAGATCTACTGTCGTATTCAATGGAAGCTCGATGATGGTAGAACTACTGGAAAGTAATCAATAACAAATAACAAATAACAATAATAACAATAACAAATTTAATCTATGTTTAATAACCACGTCAGCTTGCAGATGGGAACATTTTGGAAAACTGAACTTCAAAAAAACCTACCTGGATGATATTTGAGCAACAAGCATTGCTGTTTCATCTAGAGGAGCTACAGAATAGTCATTGGCAACTGACGAGACGAAGTGATGGCGAACGTTTGATGAAACCACACCAACGTCACGGGACCAAATGCCACTGGGACACTGAAATTGATTTTTGGGATCAAACAAATATAGCTTAAAAATGACAGAGGCTTGGGACGCTTGCAATTACTACCTAAAATTAGACCTAAAATTAACCTTGCAATTACGGAACTACCTAAAAAAGAAGCGCTAAGAGAATATAACTTTTCTCAGGAAAATTCACGTCCTAGCAGTACAAATGCCTATTTTTTTCATAAAATAATAGCGCATTGAAAAAGAAGCCGTACACAAACAAAGCAAACTCCGAACCCACCGTATAGAAAAGCCGCAGGTAGGCGGGATCGACGTAGATTCTTGTACCGGGCCATAAATCCTAAACGGAATACCACTAGCGATTACAAAAATAATTGCAACAGGGAATACAAGGAACAAATGATTACCTTCGAAAGCCAGGCTTCACATTTGCGACCGTCAAGCTGACACTGAATAATAGCCGGTGACGGAAGGAATGGTGAGACGTCCACGTAAAACAGGTAACTGAATGAATGAAGTATAACCAAAAAGTTTCAAGTCTAAACCAATAGTACAGATGCAAAAAAAATTACTCACTTGGACTGAGGAAGGACTGTGATATCTCGAGGCACAGGAGCATGGCCGGTAGCCATTGAGACTTCAGTTCCCGAAACTACCTTCCCGATCAATTCCAATGGCGAAGAGTGAGCATCCTATAACTGAATGAATAGCTTGAAGAAGCAACACTGTGCAATGAGTTTCCATTACCTTAACCCTGAACACATACACATAGCCAATACCAGCTCTCGAATGACAAGATGCATAGAGGGCCCTTCCATTCTCATCCATCGCCAGCGAGTGGAATATCGAGCAGTTGTAACGTTCGGGAAACACGAAAGTCTAAAAGCGTAAACTTCAGTGACTCAAAGTTTAGGAAAAGTTCAATATTACTCGATAAGTCTAGCAATGATTAAAGTGTTGTGAAGGAAACGACAGCTCAGCTGTGAGATGTAGGCGGACCGATTCCTAGTATACCCAATGTGGTTGGACGCTCGACTCATAAATCCCATAAATAACTCAGCAAAGCAGAACAAATTTATCAAAATTGAGTCAGTGGGGCAAAATGAAATTGGCTCAGGACGGACTGTACCACTTACAAGTGCACTGCGTCGGCAGAATGGGTGATGTCAGTATGAAAGAACTATACCTACATCTTTGAACCTGACTTGGCTTGAAACCTTGAATGCTACATACCTTAGCAGGAAAGGTCAGCCGAGAGTATTTGATCCTTGATGGATCTTTGGCATCAATCCAAAAAATCAATCGGCTACCAGTATCCATCGCTATAGAATATGGGAGCCCAACCGACGACAGCATGAAAGGAACCATTGGATCCTGTAAAGATAAATCAAATTCACCTTCAGTTTCACAAGCCAGTTTATATAAGTGAATGACCTCTTGATAGGATAATGACTGATCAGGTAATCGCCGCAGATTCATCACCACGAAACCTTCTTCACTCCCGGCCACAATGATATTATCAGGAGCTAGAAACAGCATTAATAGTATCTCTCCTAACTTTTGGAAAAGACCAATTGGAGAAAAGATCAAGCACGGAGTTACCTTTGCAGAGAAGTGAATATTGATCGAAAGTGAAGTGATCAGAGCAAAGGCAGAGACGTTCAGTTCGCGATGTGGCTAGGCATAACTGAGGACAATCCGACAACTCATAGGTGCACGGGTTCGAATCTGAAGTATAAACATTATGGAATATTTGACACAAGCGCAGCACCAATTGATAGCGCAAACTTGGTGCGCGCGATGAGTGAGGCAATTTCACGCAGAAGCTCTTTTCTCTTATAGCGCCTTGGAGTGTTTCAATCTCAACTTCGCTCTACAACTTGATATCAATCCAGCGCGCTAATTGGTGTGTCGCGTTCAGATGTCGGTTTTGGACCAACGGAAAGTCTAAATGCAGGCAGTGGCTGCGTTCGTATCCGATGACCGATGCGCGAGTGGGCAGCGATGGACAACGGGCAGTACCTGCCGCTCATTTGTATATCACGTGATCGATCACCCATGCGACTCAGGGTTTTGTTCTCCTTCTTGTTCTTTCCTATCTCTTTCGTATACCAACTGATTACAGCTTTTACAATGTTTGCTCATTAGTTTTCATCGAGCGGCAAAGCGAAACAGGCGTATATGAGTGCTTGTAGGCAAGGAAAGTCTCATAGGTCAGTCGGTGTATTGATCGGCGACGGTGCAGTCGCCCATCGGTCTACGCGAAGTATGAATCCAATCAGTGATTGACTCTGTCGCCACGCAACCGAATGCACAACTTGTGCCACATACAAATATATGCACGACCGCTTTCAATGTCTAATAGAAAAGGAAATGATCAATAAAAACACACCACTTGTAGCACGACCATGATGTATCATCAGAGCAGTCACATTTGCTACATTCTCATGCAGCGTTACCAATTCTCTGCCATTGTAGAATCCGATGGAATTCTGTCGCGTATCGGAATAATATAATCTGTGATTAAAGTGAAACAAGCGATATGGACTTTGATCCGTTCCCACAAACAGAAGCTCTCGGTACAAACCTAAACCAAAAAAATTACAGTATCATGTTCAACACGACATTTTTTCAGCTTGAAAAAGTTCTTTACTAGATGTTTATTTATTTGAACAGTACCATTTGAGCGAGCTCTAACAATAAGATTATTTTTATAATGACATGGAATTTCATGCGGTTTTCCAAACCAACCCTCACACATATATGTTAGAACTTAAAGGGCTGAGAATTCAGAAGTACAGCAACTGCCTTAGAGAGAACCTACCATTCAATTTGGAAACAGATATGCGAGTTGTGAAGTCGTCGAGTTCTGTCCAGTAGAGTAAGTCTTTCCGAAAGTCTATTGCAAGAGAACGAACCGAAGCCAAATCTCCAACGATATCCACGCCTCCAGCGATATCGCCATTGAGAGGCATACGCTAAAGAGATAGCTAGCAAGAAATGAAATGAAATGAATCGATAAATATGATCTGTGCCTACTCGGATCGTCACATTCGCTAGTTCATTGACGAAAAATACAGCTCCTGCCAAGGGATGGACGACCAGTGATGTTGGTTTGATAAAGTGTGACGCTATCGTCCTTCGATATTTCCCGCTGTGATCACACACCTCAATTCGTCCTCGTAATGGATTGGACCTTGAAATGAACCGATTTTTGAAACAAATAAACAACTAAAGAAGCAGTATTCGCTTTTGTACACTATTCCCTATCGCACCCAATGTCACGCATGAAAGGGAAACGTGCATGGGAATCGTGTTCGATCCCCAATCACGCACAATGATGTTGTGATTGGTTGATCACGCCAGATAACAATCCACCAATCACAGGCTTCTTAGCATTCCAGCGTAAGAGTGTGGTTTACGTTTTATATAGGAGGGGGTTTGAATTATAGAACATTCCTAATGGATCAAGATTGTACAGTGCCACTATATATTAAAAAAATTCACCACAAAAAGTTATACTGCAGCAAGGCAAGCTCTGCATATGTGGCGGGTATTGTATGGACGTTGAAGGAAAAACTTACCAGTAGATGTTTCTCGAGATCCAATCCACAGAAAGCGAATGCATTCCAGCGAGAGTGGGATCGTTGATGACCGTTTCGGAAATAGCCCCGGTGAAGGAAGCTCGTTTGATGCAGCCTGTTACTGAAGAGGAATATCCGTAAACGATGTAATTTCCTCTCTGAAAGAAAATCATGATCAGATTCGAGTGCAGTGACTGGTGAAACATCAGCAAAGGCTTATGATGCCAACCTGATCGATATCAGCAGTAATTGGCGCTTCAGTGATGTTCACAATATCTAACGAATCGAAATTGATTGGCCTGAAAACAAAAGTAAACATTATAGCAGTCTACCAGGCATACATACACTAAATCGATTACTTCTCTAATGAGGCTCGGGAAATATCGGCAACGTTTTGCTGGAGGATAACGAAGTAAGCCGATGGCTTTCGACACATCCGCTGATCACTCATTAACTCGAACCCCGTCGAACACATACACTTCGGTAGCCCATCGGCACTGAAAATGGTAGGCTTACACTCCAGCAGTTCGAGGGGTTCTGGATCATCAATTATTTTCATGCGATGGGTGCAGAAAAAGGGCTTAATCAACAGATACGACCAGACGCGCCTCAACCGCGCGCGGCTGGTCCTGTGTGTCGACAAATCCCGTTTTCTGCACCGATCGCATTAGTAACAATTAAAATTAGATATTGACATTCACCTGACAACACAGAGATGCATACATCTTAGCCGTAAGCAATTGCTAACGTTCGGAATCGTGGAGTGTAAAGATACCGCTACCAATCCAATCGGTCCATAAATTGATGACTCGATAACATTAGCCGTCAACGCACCTGAGTGTTCGAGTTAAAAAAGAGAACAATATTTAAACAATATTTATGATGACCAAGTCAGATCCTCACCAGTTTCCTCATTCGCTGAGATTCGCATGAGCGCTCGTCCGGCCAAAGAGTTACAGAACAGCTCCTCACCTGGAACGACCTCTCAAGGCAAAAGACGTAGTAATTCTACACAAAGAGGACTGGGTTCATACTTACCCAGTGTTGAAATGGCATATGGCTGAGGTAACTTCAGAGATGCTGGCCCGATTACCACTTCTCCGGTCCCATTAAGAAACGCCGTCTGAAAGTATAAACGAGGTATTGAACGGACCGGTAAGTTCGTAGCAATTACCTCAAAAACAAAATTGAACCACTGACCCTCACAACCGAGTAATTCCCTTCTGTCCAGTACAAGCGATAATTTTCGGAATCTACAGCAATGCCATTAAGCCATGCATACGGTGAGAGAGTGACCTAGATGAAGAAAGTTTTTTTTATGGCGAGGATTGGAATATTTAGTGCAGTCGTAATGTCTTCGAAGAATTTTCATAGCCAAATGGTGTGGTTTTGGGCTATAATTGATGGCTTACCAGTAATCACTACTAACGAGCCAATGAACTTTCTCGGGTAGCCCTTACTGAATCGATGGTGGACGACAGCCGCATATCGATCGGATCCATTTCATTCGGCTTCCTTTGTGGAGGAGTGGATTTGATCGATGGGCGGGATTTGTTGACTACCGATCATGTACTTCTAGTATACTTTATTAAGTGAGAGTTGCCGCAGCAAGTCAAAGAGAAGGAATTGACGATGTACGAATATGTTGTGATTGAAGAAGGGTGACCCCAAAGGAGAACCTCATTATACACCTACATGGATCTGATAATAGCAGCTTAAGGAGTAAAATACAAGGAATTTAGCAACTTATAGATGATTATAAACCGTCTAAACAAAAATGAACTTCCATATTAGCTTCAAACATACTATTCTTGTTCGATTTCTTCCGTCAAGATCACATCTATCAATATGACTTCGACCAGCACGACTATCTGTAAAGATGATTGCTTGTGATTTTAAATGATATGAGTGAAACTGTAAAATCCCTACCACTGAAATAGATTTGGCGGTTTCGAAGGTCTAGCGCCATTGTCTGAAGCTTGGAAAATGCTTGTGCAACGATGACTCGGGTATGGGTGGTATCCAGCCTCGTTACCTAAAAGAGGCGTTCGAATTACTTTGGAACACTGCTGAATGCGCAGCACCAGTCCCAACAGTATGCCGCGCAGCGAGATAACTATCAATGAACTGCCGCAACAGTGATGTCTACGTGCAAATCCATTCCCAAAATAGCACGTAGGATGAAAAAATAGTGCAAGAATTAAAAAAAATAAGACAAAATTGTCCTAATAGGTTGGTACTCACATAAATCCGATTAAGACCGGCATCGATCCAATAGATATTTCTGGCAAGATAATCGAGACGGAATACTCTCACTGAGTTGGGAATTGCCAGGACATCCTTAACAAACAGATGGGAGATTATATCATAAGAAAACTTTGTTGTAAATATGTTTGACGCAAAGATTTTTACATTCTCGACAAATCACCTCGGCTGAAGAGCCATTTACGGAACACCTGCGTATCTGCCCCAGACTCGCATCGATCCAATAGATCTTCCTTTCAATAGGATCAAAGTCGATATCATAGAATTTACGTGAAAACCCATCATTATTCAGACCCTAAATGTAGAAAATCAATAAGTTATCATAGTATAAGGTATGATATATGTACATAGGTATAAGAAGAACTACTAAAGTCTGGAAAGAAGTCAGTCAGCTAAAGTGGGTGAAAAGGACGAATTACACTGCATTTAAGGAACTCCGGTCAACCGAAGCAAGCAATTTTCTTGACCTTACACTATACTATGTGATTCGACGCTGGTAAGGGGTCATGAAGCCACAAGACATTTTCTTGAAGCCGAGTTAACCAACGTGTCACAAACGAGTGCTGGAAGAGTGAGAGGTGCAGGGGAAGAAGCGAAGAAAGGTCAGTAGGTTTCTACTAAATCATGGATAGCCCGGGTTCGTCAAGCCGTTTTCGTGTCTAGCTGAACTAGTAAGGTATACCCGACAAAAAGAGTAGTTCGAGTAGAACAAAAATTCAGGTTGGGTTCGAAATCTCGGGGTAACCCCACAGCTGCTTTTCTCGGATTTTAGATTGCCATTGCCGACTTCCTCCGCCCACGCCCCCGCACAGAGCTTCAATCGAGCTATCGATTAGCCAAATCAATCCAACGCAGGTTTAGCCTGAGTAGTGAGCGCCGTATGCTAGCAATGTGCCAATGCCAAAACTGAATACAGCCTTACTAGCACTATATAAATTACATGGGTTATATCATGACTTCCAACAAAATGAAGCGAAAGTAGGGGAAGGAATGATCGGGGGAAGTAAAAGGAGTCTCCTCTCAATCTAGGACCATCCCGGTTTGTGAAGCCGATGCAGTGTCTTACTATACCAGTATGGTATTCCTGACGAGGGGAGAAATCTGATGAACAGAACATTCAAACCGGATACAAATCATTTTCCCTATCCCGTTACTTCTCTTAAGCAGCACTCAGGATTCCGATAGACACATTCCCGTCATCTCTTGGTCCTTCCCTCAACCACGCCCCCGCACAGCAATCCAATCAGCTGCAAATTATCGGTTAGCCAAATCAATTCACCGCAGGCTAAGCGCTGCTACCGGACACACTATTCTGGCAGTATGCCAACGCATAATGAACATAACCACACTATTACTGCACATATTACATGCAGTATCCAGGGACTTGTAATAGAAAGGAGCATAATAGGAGTAATCGAATGGATCCCTTCTCAATTAGGGATGGCTCGGGTTTGTAGGGCCGCGTGTAAGCCTGGATATAGCCACTTCATTATTGCATACATCACATGCATTATTTCGCGCCTTGTAATGAAATGTAGCAGAAATTGAAGAATTCTGAGGGGGAGGGAGCAAGAAAAGGTATAGAGGTCCCACCTCGATCAAAGTGGCGTAGGTTCCTAAAGCCAATTTCGCACCTACCTATACTAGTAAGCTATATCTGATGAGGAGGGTATCTGAGAAGCTAAGACATTTAGTAGTGATACAAACTCTTTCCGTAATCCCTCTTCTGCTTTACAGATTTCGGATTGCCATTGCCAACGCTTTTTGACCACGCCCCCGCACGGCGTTTCAACCGAATTACCGGTTAGCCAAATCAATCCACCGCAGATCAAGGGTAGCTAGCGGTTCCTGCATGCTGGCAATGCGCCAACGCTAAGTACGCCGAATGCAGTCTAACTACATAAATTACACAAGTTATGCCCTCAAAATTGAGAAAAAGTGAGACAGGAGGAGAGATGACAATCAAAAGGGGATCGCACTTAATCGAGGACGACTCAAGATTGTGAAGCTCATTCGGTGTCAACTATACCAGTAAGGTATACCCGAAGAAGGGAGAAATTTGAAAAATAGAAAATTTAAAACGGATAGAAATTGTCCTGTTATTTTAACTATCCCTTTCCAGGAGCACTCAGAATTCGGATCGGCATATCCCCTTCATTCCTCAAGACCGGTTAGAAAAAAACCATGCGCCGCAGGATAAGCGTAGCTAGCGGACCGTGTACGCTGGCAATGTGCCAACGCCAAGCCTGAGCCCAGCCACACTGTTATCATGTATATTATAAACAGTATCTAGCGCCTTGTAATAGAAAGAAGCAAAAATTTGAGGAATCGAACGGATACTTCATCAATTAAGGATGACTCGGGTCTATGAGGTCAACTTTGTTCCTAAATACACTGGTTAGGTATACCTGACGGAAGGGAAAATCCGCAAATGCGAAAACTCAGTACAGACCAGGTTCCTTCCCTAATACCACTATTGAGTACAGAGATTCTCCCTAGTTTGCAGTAAGAGATCCTCAACGCAATGTGGTGTGGATATTAGATCTTTTCTTAATTCCACTATTTCTTCTAGGATGCACTAAGATTTCATATCACCGTTCCGACGTCTTTTGACCCTGACCCTTCATCGGATGTAAACTCTTCTCCACAATCCCGCTACCTTTTCAGGCAGCACTCAGGATTAGGATCGACACATTCCCTTCATCCCTCAAGTCCGTTAACCACGCCCCCGCACAGCAGTCCAATTAAGCTACAAATTGTCGGTTAGCCAATCCAATCCACCGCAGGTTAAGCGTAGCTAGCGGGCCTCATGTGCTGGCAATGTGCCAGTAAAAGTTTGAGTATAGCCATGCTGTTACTGCATACATTACATATAGTATTTCGCGACCTGTAAAAGAAAGGAGAAAGAAATGGAGGTGGAGGGACCGAGAAAAGGTATAGAGGTACCTCCTCAATCAAAAGTGGCATAGGCTTCTGAGTTCAATTCCGTACCTAACTAAACTGATGAGCTATATCTCACTGAGAGAGAAATCTGAGAAATTAAGCTATTCAGTAGCGGTATGAATTCTTTCCGTAATCCCATTAATGATTTGCAGACTGCGCTTAGATTTCGGATTGCCATTAGCCAAATCAATCCACCCCAGGCTGAGCGCGGCCATACTTCGCGTTGGCACATTGCCATACCTCGCATGACGGCAATGTGATTACGCAGTCTTAGGTCAACCTTACTACTGCTAGTCTTCCAGTATATGTCATTTCATGACATTTTATGATTTTGAGTAGAATGAAAGTGGGTAAGGTAGGGAATTCACATCAGATCTGGGATTTCGATTGTGCAGTAACCTAATAGCATATTTCCTGAGATTTTTGAACCACATTTCTCTGAAGAAATCTGGGTGGATTAACGTTGAAGTGATTACTTAGAGGCGTAAATTTGGCAGTGCTTATAATAGGAAATATAGAAGACGTGACTACTGTTTAATGCCTTACCTCAAACAAGACTTGCTTAGGAGTGAAGTCAGTTGTGTCGAGAGAGATCTGGTATATTCCACTAACTGCAGAAATGAATAGGATCTGAAAAGTGCAATTCAGTAATACTCCTCATCCTTACCATGTTTCGTTAACGAAGTACCAGTATGAGAACCTTGTCAATTCCTCGTGGATCACAGGTTCTTCCATCGTCCAATAACCTGATTCCAACTGGGCAAGAACACTGTGACCATGGATGAAAGTTCAATAGCAGACAAAAGTGCGAACAACCTCCATTGTTCTGAGAACAAGGGTTCGGGTTGATTCCTAAAAGAAACAGTAGAGTCTTAGTAATGGAAGTGGTTCGACGTGACAGGAAGCTGGTAAAACTACTCTTAAGTATGCTTTATGGATAAGGATCTAATCACAGGTGTTGTCATGCACCTTAAATCTGATAGGTGGTTGCCTTCATACCGGGCGCTGGCTGGCGGGCGAGAGGTGATAGGCGAAAGGCGCCAGAATCGATCGATACCCTATAGATATGTGACTCCTGCCAGAATTCAGGGGTGACGGAACTTCTCCCCGAATTCCCACGGCAAGCTGCAGTGGTCATGCGGCGGCTGCCCTACCCTTCCACTGGAAATTCAAGTTTTCCCTTCATTTGCGCGCGATCGGGTGCGGCGAGTGCGACGTCGTTTTCGGGGAGAAGATACCGGACCCTAGTATTCCGTGCTCTTAGAGCACATCACAAACCTAGTCTGTTTCCCTTTTTATGCTCCTCTTACCCCGTCCATGTCATTTTGACAATCAGAAAATCTATTATATTTACTTCTTTGAGGAAAGCTTACTTCACTGAATCATAGGAACACCAACTGCTGAGAAATTAATATAAGGGGTGGATTAAGTTGTACTTTGAAGTAAACCTTCAAAGGCGCAGAATTCTAGCATTAGAGTGGCAAATGGGACATTGATCAAAGTAGACATCGTTTTTCCCCTCGCGCCTTACAGGCGACGGCTAGGGCAAGGTGTGAAGGATGCATTATAGATGTTAGCGATCAAACAAGCATCTAATTGAATTATCTGAAAAGCGCAAAGCAAGTCTAACTCACTGTCTGGTTGAATTGAAGGATCCAAAACGACAAGTGACTCTACACCACGAATATCACCAACAGTTCTGTAGGAATTTGCACAATCGGACTTCTCACATACAATCAATTCACCATGGTAGGAAGTCGACCAGATGAAGTATGACTACAAGCTCATTCTTAAATTCTCCTTAGATAGGAGTGTACTCAAAACTCACCTTGTATACAGTGAAAAACTGTATGGGATCCGTGTCGAACAATTCCACACATGATTCACGACGATACAACTCACAGTACCAGATCTGAGATGATTTCCTTTGGGTTCTGACAAAATAGATTCGCCTCGATGAGAGATCCAGTGCAAGCGATGAATAGGTGACATCTTTTGACGAGCTCACGATTTGTTCCTGAACAAATAGTTCCTCTTTTTTCTACCAGAACTTCGATGGGCAAAATTAAAGATCCAAATCCTTAAAACAGTGGCGATACTGCTTTGTACTACCTCTTGTCAAAAATATTGGGAAATAAGACATATGGCCGCCTTCATACTTCGCGCTGGCCATGAGTCAAGGCGATAGGAATACGCGGTGCGTCAGCATCGATTGATATCCCGCAGTTGGATGACTCTATAGGGTCAGGTTTGAGCCGGATTTCCACATATCAAAATGACCAGATGAAGTGTGGAGAGGTATGGGAAAAAGAGCGGAACAGTATAAGCATGTTGGAGCGTCTTAAGGATATCAAATCTTATCACACGTCATCTATCGCTCGGATATCGATCGACGCCGACGCCTTACGCCCATCCTCGCATAATAGTATGAAGCGAGAGTAACATTAATTATGTTATGCGTTATGAATTTTCCCTCTCGTCTGGAATTTGGTCCACTAAATGATAAAACCTACACTATAGGGGTGTTTGTCATGGTGTTGGCCATTCATAAATGATTTCTCTATGCAGTTGGTAACGCCATTCAACCAGTACATAATCCTATAAATAAAAAATAAGGATCTATAAGGATTGTACGAACCGTGACAAAGAATGGAAGATAATAGTGGTTTTGAGACGTTAAATTTACTGGATCGATAAAATGGTAATGGCCCTGCTAAAATTTTCACAAGTAATTGTATGGTTATTTCTCTATGACTCAAATATTCGCCTTCATTTAAATAAACTGTTTAAAACCGGTCATTTACGTGGATTTGGTTAGCTGTTCAGGTGAAAGCACCAGAAGACAACTGAGAGTATGAAACATGTAAATGAAACTAACAAAAACAAATGCTCAAACAATAAAATCACTTACCCTTCTAAAGGATCCAAACATAGTGAATGTAAATAATCCAGATTTTCATGAATAACTACAGTACAATTTGTGGCATCTGTTAAACTACATGCATATACCCTAGCTGAGCTGTCATGGCCTACACCAGATAGCGAGATAAAAATCTGGAATAAAAAAATTATGAAAAAAATAGCTGGGTACGGTGCATGAGCGGGTCTCGTCCTTGACTAGACCTTGGCAAAGCACAGATTGAAAATAAAAAGAAGATTAAAAAAGAGAGTTGTGGAGGTTACTACGAAACCCACGAGACCTTTCTGGTGACCCAATCGAACGCGATCGATGACGGGGCCTCCTCAAGACCATAGCCAATTCTTCCAAGATCATTGGTAGTACTGTTATCAACAGCAAGTGAATAAAGATGATTACGGAGCGTAAAATAGCAAGTACCCTTGAAACATTAAGTCAAAATTATACTGAAATTCATTTAAAAAACACAGATTTGTAAAAAATTAAGGACTTACAGAAGTGTCGACAGCAAGGAGTACGGACAATTCCTCCGGTATTGATGGTACTAATAAAGTTGATTCAGCTTCAAAACTATCTTCATCTAGCGTTATTAGAGCGATTCCTCGTTGCGTTCGGGCAACGAAGTCGACACAGTGACAATGGAAAATGGCTGAAACAGAAAAATGAACCGATTCGGGGATTCCCTAGCACCCCATGCAATCGATATGACGACCATCTTACCACTTAGCGCTAGAAGAACGAGGAAATTGCTCATTAGGTTCGGTAATAAACTAGCGCATAGACGTTACACCCCATTTGCCTGAAACAAAAAAAAATGCGAATGAGATTCGTGGAAAGGTACGAAAATTATTGATCGTAAATCTACAAAAAATACGTAGTAAACGACATAGGAACTGGTTTGTTGACAGCGAGCACATTAAAGGGGGTGAAAGGGTGACGACAAAACGAGCCAAGCAAATCGCAACGAATTGAGCGGAAAATGGCGGCAAATAGAGAGGAGACCCCTGCAGACGGACGGACGGACGGACGGACGAGCAGAGGGCGAGACAAGGCATTAAGGAACCGAAAGGGCAGACAGGGGGGTAGAAGTGACAGTCAGAGCGAGCAGACAGAGGGTCCGAGGGTCATCTGGCTGGCTGGCTTTTCGTCTTCCTCTTCGCTCCTCGCTTGGTGAGGGGGCTAATCAATTCATCAAAGGAGGGCATAGACCACACACGACGAAACCTCCACATTCGCTGATTCGCGAACACGATTAGGCCCCTTTGTAGTTGCCGATGAGGCGAATAGCTGAATTTACAACAACGATCCCAACATTAGGAAAAAAAAGTAGCGTTAAGCATCGGAAAAGCAATGAATAGATTTCTTCTCATCTAAACACAGGAACCGCCTGTTTACTTGTTTACGTATTTATTCTTCACGATAACCGTAAAAAAAACCTATTTGGCTTATTCAAGAATTCTACAATTTACAATTGCAGGCTGGGAAGAGTGGAGTGATTGACTGACAACTAACAACCAAACTGGCATGGACGGACATGGCAGATCAGAGTTAAACAGGGTTTGGTGTGACCCAAAATGGTCATGACAACCGATAGATACGCGACTAGAACGGAAATGCAGTACGGATCCAAATTCCTACCGTAACTCCGATGTTGCTTTATACTATTGCTACGTGATAAATATGTTCTGCAATGCATTACGGCAAGTATAGAACAACAATGGGATTGCGGTCCTTCAAGGAAGACGGTGACATTTTCGGGTCCCATTTTCGTCCCTGTCGTCTAACTAATGTCATCTTCTTTTCTGAACATCTGAAGGACCTTAATAATCGTGTTACAAAGGACAAAAATCCTCCATTGTCGGCTCCGCACAATACTGTTCGGGGCATAGATGTTGTCGTCCAACGGAGTAGCACGATTAGGTGCAGGGTTGCGGATGTATTGAGGGATTCCCCGTTATTTTTGCGACCGTTGGATCAAGTGTGCATCTTCAGCAGCGGTGCAAAGTAATTGAATTTGAGTACGAGACGCAAATGCGAATTACCCAGACCTTAGAGCCCAGAAAGCTCTTCAAAAATAGCAAAGCGCCAGCTTTGGGGGCCAGAGATGAGCATTGCTGCGAAGTGCGTACTAAATTGAGTAAAATAGAAAAAAAGGGAAACGATTTGAATTTGTCGAAAGAAAAACAGCATATGGAATTGAATTCAGCGCAATGGTGGTGTGAATCGCTGGGCGTTTGCATTACAAAGAGGATGGCATAGATAAATTGCATCTACGCGAAAGATTTTTTCTCACCTATGAACTTTTTACGAACGTAATTATTTTTCGAGACGACTCTTTGGTGGGTAGCGATAAGCAAGCGACGAGGCACACACTCATCGCAAAACTGAAGTGAAAGGTAGCATTCCGTAGAGTGGCGGACTTTAACGTCCAACCATCACCCTTTGGATTTTGCCCTTAAAAAGTTGCTTTTAGGGGGAATTTTGCGAAATTAATGAGGTTAAACGAGAGGCCCAGCCAGGCTGGAGATATTTTTCTTTTAGAGACTGAATATTGAAGAGTTCATTTCTCTAATAGTCCCAGTAAATTGATGGCATGCTGCGGGACTCGCACTCGCTGACGACTGGGAGATTGATACGTTCTGTGGCTCTAGTTTTTTTCTCCGTTCAGCCAAGATAGATAGCTAAATCTTCACGAAAGGGTTGATATTGTCAAAGTTTCAAAGTACGAACATTAGCTTACTACAAAGTAGCAGAATTTCAGTTTGATTAAGTTTAATTCTTATTTCAGATGGTTCTCTATACCTTTTCCACCGGAACCAAAAATAAAGATAAAATAGAAGATTTTATTTCCTTGAGCATACCTCATGTGTTCATTTCGATTATCTGAAGTCCTTCACTAAGAATTTTAGGAAAAATCCATGGGGTGTTTTGCTTATTTATGAAGATTCCAATTTTATTCAGTGGTTTCTCAATGACGGTGATCACTAAACTTGCCAGCTTACTAACAGCAAAAGTATCCTTTCTTGAAAAGCTCGGAAGACCTGTAGCGTCCAACTGTCGTAGACATTTGTCCATCTTCAGTAGCGAAACGAATTCGCCAAAAGTTTCCGGTTTCACTAACCTCACTGCTCTTCGGCTCGGGGAGATATCGATTTGGCGAAACGCCAAGTGGTGTTGTGTTGTTGCCGCCTTCGCCTGCTCCACTGCAACGACATTTTCGTATTCGCTAACCAGTAAATCGTACTGATCTGACTGTGTCAAGATGATCAGCGTTACAGTCGCTGCTCATGGGCGAAGTAGACGTTGTGTTGGAGCACATTTACGAGTTCGTTGCGTTTTCGTTGATGTATGTATGACTACCAGCAAAATATTTGCTTTTGTAGGCATACGGTAGTGGCAGATTGTCTATTGGGGATTTAGATCGACATACGATTCAGAAAAAAGCCACACAGATCCGAGCACAGTAGGTTTAGCATAGTTTTTCGGGTTCTTTTCCCTAACGACTTCCGAAAAAACTCAATTTCCAATATTTCAGGACCTACTGGAGGAAGCTATGGGAGAATTTCTGTGGCTTACTCGTTGCTATTCTGCAATTCTGTTTTCCGGCACTATTCCGATTTCTCTACACACCTTGTACTCCTACTTTTAAACAAAATAAATTTCCTACGGACCTTAAATCGACATACATACCGTATTCCCCGATCCATGTGAGTTTTTTTTATAAAATTAGCTTAAATCTAGGCTTATTGAGAACTAGTGACAGTACCACTTATGATTGGATGGGTAAAAGTTCCTGATTGGATTTGATTTCTTGATTGATTGGTTGAAATTTTTGCTATTTCTCTATTACAATTTGTATATCAGTAATTTGATTAGTCTTAACTGGTAAATGCAATTCTTCTTCATCCAACCCACGTCTTCTCAGGGTTGACTGTCTTGGATGCCAAGGTTTTGGTGCTACATTTAAGATAAGCTTTCTTGACCTTCCGAATGATGGGGTAGGTGATGAGATAACCAGTTAGACGAGGTCTGGGGTCACGATCATCCTATACGCACATCCGAGCGGAGCCAGGTTCTGAAGGCTTTTCATCTGCTCTGCTGTACTTTCTACTTCATGGAATGCGTATTTTGCTTTGGCATTCCGTAAGTACACCACATACGGCTTGATAATGGGCCCTATAATGTAGTATCCTTGGCGTCGGCATCGGTAGCATCATTTTAGTTCTTAGCTGGAAGTATATCGGTGGTTTCAAGACGAACTTCGTCCACTAACTTTCCAAACAGTAAGATAATTGGTGAGCGATAACCAGCTATATCATCAGTATGGCATGAACCGACCAGTATCGTCTACACAATCGTAATTTTTTTTCTTGTTGCAACGCGAATTTGTCTTTCGAAGTAAATCCTGCGTTGCGAGACGAGCCAAAAGTAATATATGTACATTAATTGGGAGGATTCAGAGGAAAGAGGCGGGTGAGCTACTTATCATGGAGGATTACCAGAATCGTGCATTACCATCGGTCTTTCGCAGCCATCTGCGCAGCGGGAACCAACTCACCCGATGGCACGTTGATGGCATGCTTCCCCTCGAATCAAAAAATGTGAGGGACTTCTATGGCTAGGCACTTCGTCTATAATAGCTTCAATCCAAAGGAGTTCAGAAAACTGTACTATTGCTGCATCTTTTAGGCAGGCCATCGTTTATCAAAACCTATCATAATCTGCCTGATTTATTCAGTGGAATCGGTCTCTAGAAGGACTCCCGAAAATACATTTGAAGAAACCTTAGGATCGTCTTAGAGGGCTACAGAATCATTACCAAAGTTTGTTTACAAACGTGGACAAAAACCAAATAATGAGAAGTAGGAACTGTCCGTTACCGTGCGCTGCCCTGACTTACATGAAGGACAAACTCGGATGCCTCCCACCAAATGTCTTTGCTGATTTAACACTCTTACTTTCAGCAATTTCCTAATGCCCTGCTAACACGTATTTTTGGTTTACTGGACTGTAAGTCGTTGCTGAGCTGTGAAATGACGTGCAAACGGTGGAGGACTATAATTGAGAGAAATTTAGACAATCTACAAAAAATGCCTACTGATCAGGTCGGTTTACTCTACATTGCCAGAAGCTTGAAGATAATGTTCTTGTAGTTCAAATGTAATAGAAAAGAAATGAAAAAGACTGGGCAGGCGATCTGTCTGCAAAAAAGTAAAACTGGGCCTCAGCCTCGCTGTCTCTAGCGGGCGCTGAACAAATTTGAAGAGAGCTATCCTGCCTGCGCCCCAGCCATTTGCGATAGAGATGCAGCGACAGCATGACCTACCAGAGCGCAGACGAAAGAAGAAAAAATTCGGGTCAGTTGTATATTGTAGGCTTGTTATAGGGGGGGGGGGGGGGGGGGNTTTTTTTTTTGTTTATAGTCTATTACGGCTCAGGGTAACTTTCTATGCATTGTCAGGACCCCCTCTAATTAAGCGTCAGATTTCTATGTTCATTTGCGCTGGTGTGTATCCCTCGTAGATAAATGACAAGTATCATGCCCAGTGTCTTTTAATTTTAAGCTATAATAAGAATTTTGCAGCTATTTTTAGATTCGTATCCTTTTTGACGAGGCTGAGGTATTCATTTATCCCGTTGATGCACGAAAATGTCCAGTCCGGTATGACATGCCTTCTCTTCAGGTGAGTATGTTTTCCATGTACAGCTCTCATTTTACTTCTCGGAGCATAACTTTCGTAGAAAAAAAATGCAAACAAGGGGTCAAACTTGTTGACCTGGAATAAGGTTCAGAATAAATTCATCACAACTTGTTAGGGCAGATGCTCTGCTTTGGCCTATTGAACTAATCATTCTGACTCCCTCATATTTGTATTTTACAATTACGTGAGGCGCCATTACCGCACATTTGTTTCGGGGAACGATATCCACTCAGGGCAATCGGCCGTTCCGTCTCGCCGGGGTGGCCCATCGTTTCCTGGCTTTTGGGGGTTTGAACACACAGGAGTAAACGGCCATTGACTTCTGCTGACCACTGCATATGTCAAATGTGGGATTAGAGTATTATGGTCAAATGGAGTGCGAGGACGCATCCCCTAATTGGGAATAACTAGCTTTGAAAATTAGTACCATCAACCACTTCTGACCGAGCAGCTGCGTAATCCCTGTCGGAATAGTTCTACGAGGCCGCCACGCTTCGAAATCTTCCACAACTCTGATTAGAAGTCGTATGTTTAGCATATACTTCACTGCTCATTAACTCTACCAAATTTATAATTTACTTGTTAAGTTTGCGTAGTATTAGCTTTTATTGAAGGCTCTGGAACGGCGTCTACGCCACTTAACGACACAGTCGCTTTTCATTCGAGGTTTGATTCCTGTCGAATCCTCGCCAGTGCTTCGATCGCTACTTTCACTCGCTTTACGACCGCAGCAAATTTATTTCATTTGGAGCAAATTCAGTCCAGCCAGTATACCAATGGTAGGTTTTGCACTACTCGTTTACCAAACTGATCATACCAGCTGTAACATAACTGTCTTTCAAGTCGCCAAAGTGTTGCTCACAAGTAGTAGTTCGAAAGCAGCAACCTCATAACTTTAAGCACATGATGGAATGAGAGGTTTGTAGGGTACGGTATCAATCAGGGCTGGACTCCGATTTCAAGGTTGTTCTAGCATATTTGTGTCTGCATTTAGAACCTAATTGAATTGACTGATCCTCTGTTTATAGAAATGTCTTTAGATTACGGCATCGTAGATGAAAAAGCTATCTACCCTAGTATTAATATGATTTTCAGTATGAGAAACCATTTGCAGATTTTGAAATACAACATAGTCCATAATGTCTCTTGCCAGGCCCGTTGCTATTAGACTTTCCTTTCCTAGTTGGATTTTTCACCAAACTCGAGCTTTACTTCACTTTTACTTAACATTCTCATTTTCAGCTTGAAAATTTCTTCCGAGCAAATCGAGACTCCGTTGTGGATATTGGTCTAGAAGAATGCTCACCGCCTAATCTCTTCACTGATAAGCTCCTGGAGACGCTGCTGCCAGGTATTAGTTCAGCTTATTATGGTATTTTCGTTCGTACTTTTCCGATAGTATTGTGCTTGGCAGCACTTTGCTCTGATACCTTGTCTTATGCTTAGTGCTTTTCAAGGTTTGACATGTGTTCGCCTATGGAATAATGGCAAAGCAGGGAATTATGCCGTTTCCGATGTGACCATCTATAAGTTAGCCGAGTAAGTTCATTAATTATCGTATTGCGCATATCCGTGATTACGATCATCCTCCTATGTGCCGACATGAGGATTTGAAAATCTCCGCGAGCAATAATCGATCCACGGTATGAACTTTTGTCGCGCCCTTGGGTTCCCGCCAAAATTTGTATTCATTATTACCCAAGGGTGTTGGAGAACACCCCGCTTTTACATCGCATACACTTTTGTAATATTTTTTCGTATCAGTGATCGACACCAAGTTTACCCTAAGTCTTTAACCGTCGCGTGAGCATAAGCTTCTTGAAAATATGCTGTGCTAATGCAGTGCTAAAGCATTTTTGTAGTGTTACTATTAATAATATACAATATATGGCTCAGTTCATTACCCCAGTTTGAAGTATATAAAAATGCCGCATACTGGGTCACCCTTTGAACGCGATTCGCATCGGCATCTCCTGGCTCGCTGAACCACACCTATCCCGCGCCTCTACAGGATGGGTGGATCAGCCCTTCAAGGACCAAGGGACTCCTGGCTGGTGAGGGCCAGCCTTGCTCAAAGCGACCCTGGCGAAGGTCTCTGTGGCGAGGATCCCTGCCCCATACAGGGAACGCTCAATGGAGGGCGACACACACTACTTCCCTTCGCTTTCAGGTGCTCTACTTAACGTATTCCCCAGTGAGGCATACTGTTTGCTTCAAATGAACTATGCCCTACAAACAACTAATACTACCTAATAATAAATACAAGTGGAACAGAAGGGCATGAGGCTGAATACAGAGTGATTATCCTAACACATAATGAGGTAACCGAAACCGAAAGAATAACATGAGCGTTACTTAATTGTAAACACGAGTGCAAAAAACAAAAACAAAAAAAACACGAGTCATATTTCTACCGCCTGTCTCCTTAGGGAGTATAGTAGTATAGTAGATCATGGGACACGTTGGATGCCGTGGGCGCCTTCTGATGCTTTAGATTGTGTGGTTGGAGCATGTAAGACATGGGAATGAACTGCAAACCTCTGTTCTTTTTTTGGGAGACCCGAGTATGCTCCACACCATACGATGAGCGTCTTGCCAATAGCGCGAGCCTGATCCGAACCACTTCTGGAACACCCTTCTCCACAAATCATTTCGAAAGTGCAGAAATCGTAAAACCATCAGAAATATTCCGGAAGTATTTCTATGTTACAAAAGATCATATCGGGAAACAGTAGAAAGGTCACAGTGAGGTAATCGGTTATCCATAGTGCACAGGAGTTGAAGAAACGGAGTATAACCCCTTTTTCATGTTCTGTGTGTTTAGTGCGATTACCGATGGATATCCAGTCGAAACAGTGGATTTGGCCAGTTGTGGACTGACAGAGGCCTCACTTACGGCCCTGATTCTTGCTTGGACTAAGCAACCACAGTCAGATCTTTGTATTTCACTAAATTATTGCCCTTTTCTAAACAAGATCTCACTACTGGAATCGCTTGCTTCTCATAGCATTTTCCTTGTTGAGGGTAAACTCCGTCGAAACGGACATTCGTTGACCTTATTTTGCTGATGGTCGTATTTTCCTTTTTTGTTAATTTATCATGTTTTTGCCCGTGTTTTGCACGTGTTGAAATCAGATTACGTGTATTACTGCTGTGAGTTAAATTATTTTCTCTAGCTGTTTTTTCTTTGTTATTCGGACAGAAACTATGGATACGAGAGTGAGTAGTCGTGATTAGTTTAGTGCAGAGAACCTGGTAGGAAGCTGCACCCGGAAAAGGTTGAAATGATTTTTTCAAATGCCCTACTAGCGATAAATTGCTTTTGCTGTTCAACTACTGAAAAACGTTGAAGCTTAAGGTGACGTAGAAATGACCAAGGAACATGACAACAAACTCCAAGAAAAGACTAAAACGTCTATGAATGGGCGTGTCAACCAGCCCCTCGGAGAAGGCGCCATTGGTAGGCCTTCCTATATGAGCCTTATAAAATGCTTTTTTTTTTGGGAGTCTATTACCTTTTTTTATCGTCACCACAGGTATGCTACACAGCTTCTACGCTTTCATTCCTGATGAGTCGCACTCAGTGTCAGTTGAGCGTTAAAAAAGCGACATAGCGTTAGACTATCCTGAATATTCCGAAAGCTCCTCCAGATTCGGTCCAAATCATATCCGAAATGAAGACGACACATGAATTCTGGTTGTAAAGGAACAGATGAAGTCATGGGAAAATACTTATATGAGCAAGAAGGAATCTGTGCTGGAAAAAGGGCAATGCCTTCGAAGCCTCACGGAGAAATTAATTTCAAGAAGATTAAAGATCAGGATTCATGTACAACGCAAAAGCAAATTGTCTGAAAGAAGTAGTGGCTGAGTCAAAGGTTAACCACTGGATGATTCATTTGTAAAAGATGGAAAAAGAGGTACATACTTGTCTGTTTGGTCTTCGGCTCGACCACCCATTTCGTAAGCCTAGAATTCAACCCAAATCAGACCAATCATCAGGCAAATCTACCATTTCGTAATACAGATTAATTTTCTTTGAATGGTATAAGACGTGATTAGAAACCATGGAATCATCAAAGGTTAATTTTAGCTTCAAAAACAAAAAAACGACGTTACGAATGTAACAACCTAATAGATCTCAGCTGAGTCAGTTTTTGTACTTTGCTGTCAGTTGCAGGAAATTAATCGAGGGCTTATTCTGTAATCAGATTATTTCCTATTGGATTAGTTCATCTGTGCTTCTTGTGTGTACATTCCTTTAATCAACCACACAGCACAATTGCCTATAGCCTGCTTTTAACCTACTGCTTACAGTAACTTCAATTACTCTGACGGCTACTGTGAGTGCTGTGAACGTCAGCATTGTCTGCAAAATTCTATTATTGTTTTTAGTTGCCCTTCGAATTCACATTTTGATCAAAAATGCCAGCTACTGTAGTTATGTTTAGGTTAGGTTATTTCTGTAAGACGCCACATCCAAATCAGTAGTAAGAAAGTTAGTAAGAAAGTCCCAGTGAATTAATTAAATGTATGCCAAACTGTCTAAGGTCAGCTATTGTAGAGCATCAATCCTTCTGTTCAAACAGTTTGTGTCCAAAGTAATGCTGGAACCCGGAAACCCTCATAGTCACTTTTGAACTTGCGTCGCTGTCAGAGCTACTCATGCACGAGATGTTTTATCGGCCAATTACATCAGTCAGAAGCACGTCATACTTCTTGGGTGGCACCCCAGCATATTTTTAGAGAAGGTTCAATTTTCCTGATAATTCCTATGAAAATCCGACAGTTTAAGAAAATCAAAACTCCTATGAAAGCATGACCTTATCCTATCTATTTTCGTTCTGACCTTATCCAATCCATTACCGTTCTTGTTTTTTTTTCATATCCATTTCAATCATGAGTCACAGGTGAATTCCATTCACTACATTCAGTAAGTAGGTATGAAGTTAGTGCTAGTCTATAAATACAAATTACAGATGCATGAAAGTCAATTTCAGCCCAAGCTTCCATTCGGGAAGTGAAGGGAGATAGAAGTTCATATTTAGATAGAAGTTCATCCACTGGAATGGTCATGAATTGTGTGATGGGGAGTTCGTGGGGTCTATAATCAGGCTTTAGGCTGTATTCTTTGGTTGTTAATACCACGTTCTGAAAAAGGTACATGGAACAAGGGAAATTCGGGTCAAATGCAGTCGAAGGTACTGTAGTAAACCCTGAACAACCTCTCTAGTGTTAGAGTTTTTCCTTGTTTCAATTCGTTGAATTTACGATGGTTATTTTCCGGTGCCTCGCAAAGTTCTCATTGTCAGACGAAACTCTGTTACTTTAAACGGCCTAACGTTTCGACGCCTTCTTCAAGGCCCAAACGCTACTCGAGATGATCTGCTCACCATCTAACAAGTGTTCAATCACCCTTAACAAATGCGACGACGAGTTCGAAGCTCATTTGGGAACACAGTTTGGGAAAGGGACCTTTACGATCCCACCACTGATGCGGATAACCCGTTGCGGCCCCACGCGAAGGTAGTTAATGAATTGGGGGTATCAGCCTATTATCATACTAACAGACTGCTCTACCTCCTTACACTTACAGTGGTTAAGAAGGTAACGCCATCTTGCCACTGACAATATGTCATTGCTTGCAGTAAGGTAGGTATGGCAGAAGAGCGCAGTGCCCGGATAGCACAGGTACAAGTTCGAGACGCATACGAAACCGAAGTTTTGTCCATAACTCGCCAATCTTGTGAGAAGAGAGTTTGTTATGAATGGGCACTAAGTTCTGTTTCCAAATTTCTTCAGAAGTTCTCGTAAGATACTTACACCCTGCTCTTTTTTTGTCAAATATAAGGTATAAGATCCTTGAGATAACTCTTGGACAATCTTGATTTTGGCACCAACGTAAGAAAGAGCATATATTGGGAAACGAATTATTGGCCTAATATCAGAGCATGCAATGTATCTTTAGGGCTCCGACTCCCTCAGCACATTAGTCACTTCATTTGCTCCGCTGACATTCATGAATAGCCCACGGACACAACAGAAATAACTTCTCCTCAATGAACTCTAAACCAGGAAATAACCACGTAGACATTTCTTTTCGTGGAGTATGCTGACCTCATTGGAGCTTGCACGACATTTCCGGATCCACATTCCGCTTGACTCGTTGCCCACCTACTTTTTAGAGTTACTCTATGCGGATTTTTTTTCTTCGTTGAAAGGACCTCTTAATTACTTCATTTTTGCCGCTCCACCTCTAACAAACTGATTTGCACAGCCCAGCCTAGCTCAATGGTGGCTCATCTCCTTATTGGCGATGAATATATTCTGAGAGAAATGAGATTGGACTCCTTTCATGTTATCGAGACACGCCCTTTCACTTTTTCGTCGCAACTTTGAGTTCACCAGCTTCTTGTGAGCTGGAGTACCCTACTGCGTACCGCTTCTGATCTGAAGATCGAGCTGAGATGTCGGCGTTTTTTCCTGAGGTGTTACATTTCGGGATGAGGGCCTTTCTACGCCATGCTTGCTAGTGCATCGATTCTTTTGATGGTGCCGAGTTTGGAGACCTTCACGTCCAGCTTTCACAAGGGATGCCGAGAGTTTATTCAGGTAGAACGACACATTGATGTGACATTTCACTCAGGAATCCAATGGAACATGACCTGAGATTCTTGAAAGAAGAGCCTCAAAAGGAACCTCGTTCAATCTTCTTTCTATTTGTGAATTACTTTTCGCTAACTGCGTCACCGTAGCTCATAACGGATTATCCCACTTTTTTTAACATTGGAAGAACTTCATCTTCAGTCTGGTTTTTAATTCGCTAAACTTACTCATCCCATTATCGCTCATTTTGCTTCATTGGTACGCAATGCTTGATCTCTTGTTGAGTCCTTTGCTCATCAAAGAGTAAGGATAAGTTAACCATGAATATTCGGAGAAGAAAGCCTTATTTTCAGAGCCTGTAGCTCGCTTTCTTTTGATTCTATTTCTGTCTTCTTAACTATGAGGAAAGTGTACATTGGAACATTGCTGACGTCCTGACTTTCTCTAAACTTTCAAAGTTGACTGCCCTACCAAGTACATGACTACATCAACCTAGTTACTAAGTAGAAGTGCTCAGGACAACCAATGTGCGTGAAAACTGGGTGTCAATGACAAAACGGGAGTAAAATCTGTCACTTGTCACTACACCACCTCCGTCCGCCCCCTAATTTGTGATATCGAAGGTGAAAATGAGTTATGGCCAATTCCATGAATATTTTCAACTTGTTAGACCTATTCTTTTAACATTTCTAAACTGCTCATTGATGCCCTCCAATTTCGTCCATTTCCTTGATGAAAGGAATTTTCTGGAAAAGTTGTGGTTGCTTAATCAGAGGTTCTATGTAGTGACTAACAACTAGGCCACTAATTGCTGTTTGCCGTTCCTTAACATCCATCACCGAGTGTTTCTCAGCGAGATTGGTCTTAAACGACAAAAACTCAGGTAATAGACAGCTCTACAGCTACATATGTGGAATTCGATCTGGAAACCATACCTCTGTTGAAGGTGG